GAAACCTGTTGCTGAATTCCATGGTTGGGTTGCTTGTTCTGGGTGTAAAAACAGTTCCTGGGTCAAACATTCTTAACATCATGAACCTCCATGTAGCCAGTCCACCAGAGGAGACCATTCCTACAGCTTATGTCACCAACTTCTCATGAAACATATCACAACAAACAAAAAAAGAAGAATCCCACAAAACAGAGGAAAGGTACACAGAAATGTGGATAATGTATAAAAGCCATGAAGCTCTGGTCAGACTGGCTAAAGATAAATTGGTCAGGAATCTTCACTGTGTCTCTCCATCGGGTGTTGGAAAGGTGTGAAACCATCTGTGCTTTGATTGGCAATGTGAATTTAAATAGAATAAAGAATACACAGTATAACTGAAGTGATAAAATGTGTTACATTAAAAACAAAGTTTTTGTGATTGCAGTCTTATTTTTCATTTACTTTTTATTCAGACGTTATGTATTGAAAAAAAAAAGATGTGGGAAACTTTGCACATCAAAGGTGAATGATCTTTTATTGAATGGGCAGTAAGGGAGGACCGCTGCTGAAATGGCTGAGATAGCAGACCATATGCTGTATATTCCAAACAGAATAGCTCAAGCAACACATGTACACATCTTTAAGCCAACAACGACAACTTATTTGCAAATAATGTCTCTCCTACTACGAGCACAGCACCTCCCAAGAGCCTCCTTGCATGGTCACATCTCCTAGGCATCAGCGGCAACGTGACCCAGTAGCAAGATGCTATAATATTTAGTTATTGAGATTACTGACAAAGGCAGCAGCACATAAAATAATATGTTCCCTCACAGTTGAATTTTAATGTTAATTTCAGAAGATTATGAATACTGATGTGTCTGCATCGAGTTACATTTTACGCTGTGCCTTCTGCAATAGTGTTGCCAGAAACTCATAGACTGTTACTGTCTATAAAACATATGACAGTCTATAGAGTGTAACTAATAAAGAGGCTATTGATCATATGGGGAAAACACACATTATACAAAGTCAATAAAGGGAAAAAAGGTGGATAAAACAGTGAGATCACAATAAAATAATTGTAATTTACATTTACAGTATTTGGTAGACGCTCTTTATCAGAGCGACTTACAGAAAGTGCTCTGTCTACCTAGAGGAAGTATCTTTGCTAGTTATAAATAGGCTAGAGCGAAAGCTGGTCCTGAGCTCAGATACTGCTAGAAACATAAGCCCATGTTGACACCTAGAGAAAATTACAATACATTAGAATAAATACTAAACTCAGTGCTCACTTAAGTGCTGTATAAAGAGACATGTCTTCAGTCTGATTTTGAAGACCGTGAGAGACTCACGTTCAGAAAGTTCCACCACCTGAGTGCCAGGACTAAGAAAAGTCTTGGTACTTGTCTTCCACGCATCTTGAAGGATGGCGGGTCAAGCCGAGCTGTACTTGAAGCTCGAAGGGCTCAAGGTACAGTTCGAGTTTTGACCAGTGCCATTAGGGAGGGAGGGGCTGGTCCATTTTTGGCTTTTTTAGGCAAGCATTAGTGTTCTGTTGCATGCAGCTACAGGAAGACAGTGAAGGGAGTGCAGCAGTGGAGTGACGTGACTGAACTTAGGAAGATTGAATATGAGCCGTGCTGCTGCATTCTGGATGATTTGCAGAGGCTTGATGGCCTGTATAGGAAGACCAGCTAAGAGCATGTTGCAATAGTCAAGCCTGAAGATGACAAGAGACTGAACGAGCACCTGGGTGGTCTCTTAAGTTCAAATGGGTCGAATCCTGTGGATGTTGTACAGGAGAAACCTGCATGACTGAGTTAGGTTCGCGATATGAGCTGGTCAACTGGCCATCCAGAATCACACCAAGACTTCTTGCGTCTTCAGATGGAACAATCAGAGAGTTCTTGAATGAGATGACAAGATCATGATGAGGACCTGTAGTTGTAGGGATGAATAGCAGCTCAATAGGAGATTAAATGAAGGCGTTTACTGTTAATACCCGTAAACATTTCAACACCTGCATTCATTTCAGGAATCCTTTCTAGTTTCCTGGAAGGGCAGAACCAACCTCCCAGGCATATGCATGCCATTCCAGTGACTCCTTTCTGTTCAGTAGCTCTGCATACTGACTTAACTCCTACCTACATAGTTGCTCATTACAGGCTAGGTGATTAAATGGTGATGATATGAAAAGAAATGAAGCTGTTCTTGTCACACCTCATTGCTGCATTGTGTAACTGTCAAAAGAAAAATAGGTTTATTTATTCTGTGCTACTTTAGGCTAGACCATACAGGCCATACATCTTTGACACGAGGCAACCATGCATTAGCATGTTTTTTAGTGCATGTAGGAGCTGGATGAACAGGAGGAAACACTGTTTAATAAACTTTAAAGGATGGTAATTATCCAAACAAAGGCAACTTTTGTGAATAATTACTCAAGTGGTGCTGTATTGGGGCACACATCTACACATCACACCTACAGGAGCTTTTATAACATCCCATTCCAAATCCATAGGCATTAATATGGAGTTGGTCCCCCTTTGCAGCTCTAACAGCTTCCACTCTTCTAGGAAGCTTTCTACAAGATTTTGGAGTGTTTGTGGGAATTTTTGCCCATTCATCCAGAAGAGCATTTGTGAGGTCAGACACTGATGTTGGACGAGAGGGCCTGGCTCACAATCTCCGTTCTAGTTCATCCCAAAGGTGATCTGTGGGGTTGAGGTCAGGGCTCTGTGAGGTCCAGTCAAGTTCTTCCACACCAAACTCACCTATCCATGCCTTTGTGCACTGGGGCTCAGTCATGCTGGAACAGAAAAGATTCTTCCCCAAACTGTTCCCACAAAGATGGAAGTTTAAAATTGTCCAAAATGTCTTGGTGCTGAAGCATTAAGATTTCCCTTCACTGGATCTAAGGGTTCTAGACCAACCCCTGAAAAACAACCCAATAGCATCATCCCTTCTCCACCAAACTTTACAGCTGGCACAGTGCAGTCAGGCAGGTAACGTTGTCCTGGCATTTGCCAAACCCAGACTCGTCCATCAGACTGACAGATAGAGAAGCTGATTCGTCACTCCACTGCTCCAGAGTCCAGTAGTGGCGTGATTTACACCACTCCAAATGCTTGGCATTATGCATGTTGATCATAGGCTTGTGTGTAGCTGTTTGGCCAAGGAAAGCCATTTTGTGAAGCTCCTAATGCGCAGTTCCTATGTTAATGTTGCTTCCAGAGGTAGTTTGGAATTCAACAAATGACAGACACTATATATATATATATATATATATATACAACAGCCTTATACTTTATATTTTATGATATGCCTGAAATTTCCTCTTAGTGGCCCAGATAAACAGGCACAGTGAGGTAGGATTTACAAAGCGTGCTTCATTTTGAATAGCCTACTATTAGCCACAAATTCTTTACGACAACAAAAAATACCATGTACGCTATACAGCATATTTCTTGCAAAATATAAACCATAAAATTGCTACAGACCCTGAATACAGTGGCAAAAAAATAACAGGTTCACACTCCTCCCAACCTTTTTTAAAAGCTTTTACATGTTCTACCTTTGGCCTAAAAATAAACCATTGTTCTCATCACCTCATCAATGGATGTAAGACATTTGTTCTTAAGCAGAGGTTGAGGAAATCAATAAGCAGTCATTATCAGAAACAAAAGTAGTTTTTCACAACACAGCAGGTTGTACTTGTATGTTGACTGCATATTTCAGGAGTGTGATGTCACTTTTGCTATTGTGATGAAGACACGTGCTGATAGAATCTTCCCTCTTCCTTCTTCATTACTCCTTCTTCCTTCTTCTTTCTTGCGAATTGTGATTCCCATGTCTTTAGAAAGTCTTGTAGTCAGTTCACCATTCTGAATTGTATTGTTCCATCATATCCTGCATTGTTTTTGAAGTTTGTAGTCTACATTGAAAAAATGGAAGATGGAGAGTTTTTCAGTTTACTAATGTGCAGTTTGTATATACTACAGAATTGATTCATATTTCTCTTTTGAACATGTTTAAATCTTGTACAATTCTTTTAGTATTGATGGATTTAAATTCTGCTAGGCTCAGTCATGTTAAGAAGAATGAAACTGATTTATTGGCACAGGTCAACATCAAACAGAAAAAAACCCTGCTTTTTAAAAAAGTGTGACTTTTATTTGTAGTGTGAATTTAACACTGCATTCACACCAGCAGCGACACAATGCGTCATTCATTTTTGATGAGATGTTTGAGTGTCAGTGAGTCACTCTTTCTCTTTATTCCAGCTTCCATTCTTTTCAGGAGACTCACTTTCAGTTTCTCAAAGAATCTGCAGACATGCCTCCAAAGTTCAGTCTTAGAAGCTGGCTGATCATTTTCTGAAGTAATCAAACACATTCAGTGATGTTGAGGTCTGGACTCTGGGGTGGTCAGTCCATTGTTCAGCTTCTTTGTTTGATGTGTCTCCTTTTCTCAGTGAGGTTCTTCTTGGCAGCTACACATCCTTTCAGACCCACAGCGCTGAGTCGTCTTCTCACAGTGGAAGGATGGACAGAAACACCTGTGCATGTTTTCAGATCTGAAGCAGCTTGATTTTCTCCTCTCTCTCTCAAAGATGAAAGCTTTAAGTGCTCTTTATCTGATGGGGGCAGTTTTGGGGTCTACCAGGTCTTTCAGGTGGTTGTTTTTGAGCTCCAGTTTTGGGCTCCTTAGAAATATCTCCTGAAAAGTGAATAACTAGTACTTACTGGCTGTTTGGACTAAAAATTGAATAAATGAGGGTGGTCTCTGATTTTCATGGTGCTGTATATATTGATATATCATATTGATGGGCCTCCTCTGACTTGACCAGTCCCTGAAAATGTAATGAGAATAAATAGGTCTTACCTCAAAGTGATGTCATATGGCTCGCACCGAATCAGATGGTATGGAGTGAGAACGTGTTTTAAGAGTATGTATTTTCCCTGGTACAGCAGGTTCATCTTGATTGATGGCTGCATATTTCAGCTGTTTCTGTCATCGTTTATATAGATTCTTCCCATCAGGTAGTGAGCACAGAGCAGCTCCAGACTCTGCGCTAGTAGCCTACAACCTGGTAAGACATTGCTTATTACTATTAAATAAAACCACTAATAAAATGGTTCCCACATGAGAGTAACCCTACACAACAGGGGTGAGCACTGCAGCCTTAGGGGGGGCCATTGATCTAACACTGCAAAAAATATTAGGCAAAATATAAGAAATAAACACTAAATTTTTGGCAAGATAGTTTTATTTGACAATAAATCTAATCTAGAAATACGTAGCTCTGATAAGTGTTCAAAGGCTTCATAAAATGTAGAAAATGCTGTTTTTTTAGATCAAATTACTTGAGATCAGACTCATTACAGCACAGTAATAAGTGAAATACACTAAATATTAGCAAATAATTCATAATTTAGTTTTCTTAAAGGGTTCTTTAGTGAAGAAAGTAGTTCTATATAGAACCATAAACACTCAAAGAAACCTATGCATGATTAAAGGGTGCTTTGCATCATGAAATGGTTCTTCAGGTTGATGAAGAATGTGCTCTAGATGGTTCTACATAGAAATACAGCACCAAAAAGGGTTCCACTATTGTTACAAGCCCAAGAACGCTTTTTTGGTACTATATTGAACCCTTTTTTAAGAGTGTAGTAATCATGAAATAGGTAGGCCGAAGCCCATATTTATTTTAAAACTAGCCCTTAATCTCAGAGCAGACATTTTAAAACAGGTTCAGTGAAATTTCCCGAGAGAGAGAGACAGAGAGAGAGAGAGAGAGAGAGAGAGAGAGAGAGAGAGAGAGAGACATTGGACCACTGAAGAATAAAAAAGGTTATACTGTTGGAACATCAGAGAGGAACATTTTTCTGAATTAAATAAAACTAAACCCGATAACAGAATGAAGAAACCTCAGCAGAGGACACTGAGGAAAAACTGGATGTGTGATTCTTAAATCAAGCGATTGTTGATTTTACCTGTAAATTACTCAATTTTAAGATTTCCTGACTAATTGGGGCATAAAAGGCATATTCATGCTAACTTTAAGGACATACCATGAATTAAAAGATATAACTAGCTAATAACTTTTAAAACAAGACAATTCATCTCATATTTCCAGATCTAAGATTTTAAATCGTGGCAAACACAGAACAATTTGTATTGAATATACCTGACTCATAAGGTAATTACAAGGTTTAGCTGGTGTGTTAAAGCAGGAAAATGATCCTCCAGGGCCACAATATAAATGGCCCAAAATGACTTGGGAAAAATCTGTTTACATTAACTTCCATTATAAGTCAAGAAATGATTACGACTAGTATGATATGTAAGTGTATAACAGAACAGTGCAGCTTATTCTAGAAGTAAACAACAGCAATCACAGTTTAAAGTCCAGGCAATTTAATAAATTAAAGTTAGTAATTATTTCATAAATAAGGCAATAATTTAATAAAGGTTTATCTGCAAATCTGCATTATTGCATTTACTGGGCAACCGTCATTTGGGTGGCCAATAAAGTTCTACCTTCAGGACTAAACTTAAACCAGTAACATAAGGTAGTGGCTTGAGATCTCAAGGTCCACATTTACAATGTTACTTTTATACTGATTGGTGGGAATCACCCCCCTTTCCACTCAATTCCACTGATTTTTCAAAATTTATGGTTGAGATTTAAACAAAGTCTTTCAGATTGGTTTGATGTGAAATGGTTTATTTGTAGAGTCTGATTTCTTTACAGTGGTGTTGATAGGAACCAGATGTCCTGATGTCTACAATGCAAACATAGCCAGTTTATTTACTATCCAAAAGCACCAGTGAACCTACACATGCCTTTTGAGTTTTTATATGTGCTGTTGATGATGGTAAAATACTGGTCAATGTGAAAAAATAGGTTTTCATTATTTTTATTTATACACAATGTCATCATCAGGTCTCCATAGGATTATAGACTTAAGAACTATTGTTCTGTAATGGCTTCTGTCCTAACTTCAGTCTTAACTGAAGTTGCCATGACAACAAAGCAGATCTCAGACTTTTTTTTTACAGAATTTTCTGTAATAGGGCCCCTGGTTCCAATCACCACCACTGAGAACAATTCTGACTCATTAAGTTTATTTTAAGCCAAACTTTTCTGAATGATTTTGTTGAGATGTTAACAATTTAATTATGCAGTAACGTTGAAAAATTGGTGGAGTTCGCCTTTAATCATTTTTCATTTTCATAGTGGCATAAAAATGCAATCGAAAGTAAAGTTTTCATTTTTTTCTGGATGGTGGGTGGCCTTTTACTCATTGTCAAAAGAACATCCTGCCTGAAAGTCCTTTACTGGGACTACATTCTTCCATCTGTACTGAGCGATTGAACCGAGTTACACTGAGCGATATAGCATTTGATATGTTGGCTAAACTTTAAAACATAACTTCAGCTTCTTTGGACTTCTTTTATATTGAACGTTCTACAGGAGGTATTCAGATCCGGGCCTTAACTCCAGTTTTAACAAGTCGAATAACTATCACTAACTACAAAACTGGTCCAGCACCAAAACTTCACGGCCAAACAAATGACCTGGGCGTGTATTTCGAAAAATTCTCAGAGTAGGAGTGTTGATCTAGCATCTGATCTTGTCTGCAAGCTCATCATAAATAAGACAGGTATCTGATTCTAGATCAGCACTCCTACTTCCAAAGAGAAAGTCCAATTAATCTTCTTTGCTTGTCACCAAGTATTTCCATTATAACTGGATTATGGCTGGGGGATCACAGAAGATGTACAGAAGAGTATCTTGTGAAAAAAGTGAGACGTTAATAAAATCTGCTAGACAGTTATCCTGTTATTCTAATGCTAATACGTGACAGACACTTGACACTTTGCGTGACATTCCTCTCACTGTTATCTAGAAAGTCATCTCACCTTAAGGTGTGTTCCACTGGAGGAGCAAAAAGCTGTAGAATGCGGAATAGATTTGAAAAGTAATCCTGAAATAAAAAAAATAACATGAAATACATGAAAAGTACATGAAACATGATTTATTTCTTGCCCTATTTAAAACTGTTTTTCAGATTTTTTGACAAAATTTGTCAAAAAATCGATGAGTGGACCAAAAGAAACGACCAGACTGTAGTCCATCTGTTTCTTTGCATACTTTGTAATCCACTCACACCAGCCCATCACACACTAACACACCACCACCACCATGTCAGTGTTACTGCAGTGCTCAGAATGATCCACCACCAAAATAATACCTGCTCTGTGAGGGTCCTATGGGGGTTCTGACCATTGAAGAACAGGGTAACAAAGTGTGCAGAGAAACAGATGGACTACAGTCTGTAACTGTAGAACTACAAAGTGCACCTCAGTGAAGCTGATAAAGTGTGAAAACAAGGAGGTGGTTTTAATGTTTTGGCTGATTGGTGACATTACAGTGATATTAATACAGATTGATTTGTGCCATAATAGTAATAAAAGATGCATTTTCTCCTCAGCACTCTTATTTTTAATATATTTTAATAAGCATATATGGAGCCCGTTTGAAAATGGCTTGTAACTAAAAGACTGAAGCTCTTCTGAGCACAAACAGCTGATCAGCTCATTATAATTATCATTAGCTCATGCACAGTTGTTTGTATGTATGCACTGATTTGTGAAATTGTGATAAAAAGAATTTTGTTTTGCAAATTTTTCAGATCTTCTTCTCAGGATGGGGTATCTGCTTCCAAAGTGTTTGGCCGTCCTGCTCTTTATGAGTAAGTCCATGCACTGAACATTACACCTGAAGGGAGATTAAAGGTTGCTACTAGATCTTGGCTGATTCTGATTCTATCCATCATTAGATTAACTAGTACATGTTTTTATTCACCTACCTTGTTCTTCCACACACTGTTCACTTTATGAGCTCAGGCTTCCTTATAGGTCCACTATGTAAGTTTATAGTTACAGACTGTAGTCCACCTGTTGCTGCCCAGTTTATCAGCCCCTCGCCACTCATCATAGGTCAGTTTCTGATCAGAGGCCCACTATTGTACTTTTATAATGTTGAATGCTCTAATAAACTGAAAAATAATATTTTCAGGCACTCTATATTTTGAAAAATGCACCAAATCAAGACACCACTGTATCATATAGAACCCAATTATGAATTCTGTGAACTGTTACACCTGCAGTTTTTCACACGTCAGTGCCACCACTAGTTTCAGAGTGGTCCACCACACAAACTGACCACTCGTGAAGGGCTAAAGGGTCTCTAACTGTGCACCAACAGATGGGCTTCAATCTCCAACTGTCCACTAGCAAGGTGGAGCTACAAGGGAGGCCTTTGTAGAAATAAAAAAGTGCTAAGTGTGAGTGTAAATGTTACATATAATTCAGTAGATCACAAATGATCTCATATTCATGTTTGGCAGTGCTACTGAGGCCTCTTAGTCAATGTTGCCACGCTTAGTACAACTGAACCAGTCACTTTGGGGAATGTGTCACTGTTCTTGAAACATAGCACGCTGGCGACATCTGCTGGCCAAAAGTGTGTAAAAGCACTGTGAGAACAAAAACACATCCTGAAATAAACTAACATGAATTTATTTATAATATAAGCTTTTATGTATTAGTAAGCATTTTATCATGTTCATTATATGATTTGTGTATCAAATACAGTGATTGCTGATGCATAAAATAATGTCCTTCAGTGTCTAAATGAAACAGTGTATTGAAATACATCACACATACATACCCAAGTGTTTTCTTCCAGACGGGGGTGGAATATGTTATACAATATTTGGGTGATTCCACAACCTGGGTGCCATTTAGTCCTTGTAACTCTCATAAATTAGAGTTTATTAACATATTAACATTAAATCTAAGAAAACATGCATAATGTGTTTACCCATCTGAGAAAAATCTCATTTTTACAAAGTTACTTTGCTGACAGGGGCTTAAAAAAACTTAATTAGCAATTATTCAGGTAATGGGGTTGGGTTACAGCTGGCCAATATGGCAATACTTATCATTATTGTGATAAATTGCATCACAGTATGTCACAATATGCCTTTCTGAGCATATTGTAGATATTGTCAGTACTAAAGACTGTTAAAATATTGAGAAAATGACATTATTTTGCAGTCATTTTACATTTTGAGAGGTCAAACATGAGCCAAAGTTTATCATCCTGCTACCAGAAAGTGGTGGGAAAACAACAGGTGACTTTCTTTCAGCTGATGGAAACGGGCTTCCATTTTGTTGGATGGGCATCTCTGAGCATTATGAATGGCAGCCATGTTAGCAACAAGAATGTGTTTACAGATATTAAACATTGTACATAATTGTTGAGTCAGCATTTACCATCAACCTTGGTAAACTGGTGGTTTATTATAATCTCCTCCAAGAATACTGTTATTTTCAGAGGGAAACTCCCAAAGATAAAACAGTGTTCAAATGGCTACATATGCATAACAAAATAACAATGTTGAAGGATGTTGACGGATATAAATATCAAGCATATATTCATAGTGTGTGGAGGTGAGTCAGTAATTATTGTTCATTCCTTCTTTCTCTTTTTGTTACTTTCTCTGTCTCTAAAATTAGGCGTGATGACACAAGTTGCCACACAAAGTACGACGCAAGGTAAGCTGGCTGAAGTATTTAAATGCATTCATGGTGCCGCTGTCAAACGCCACTCTCGACAGGAATGTGCCTCTGACATGATGTTTTTAAGCAGAGCTCCTGATGTCAAATGTAAATGAATAATGTATTACACACTTGAGCCCCATGTAAAACAATGCATGTCGTAAGTCCGCTTATCTGCTCTGCTGCCAGGACTTTCTTAGGACTTTTCTGTGTGTTTTTATTTCACATTTAAAAACGGGGATATAAAGTAGAGGAAATTGTCGAGGCACTGCAAGAAGTACTGAAGAAACATGAGCCAGTGTTCAAGGAGGAACTGGGAGACCTCAAAGGAACAAAGGCAAAAATTCATGTAGCCAAAGATGACACTCCTCATTTCTTCAAACCACATTCTGTACCTTTTGCAGTGAAAGCCAAGGTAGAAATGGAATTGGATTGACTGCTGAAAGACAGAATAATAAAGCCCGTGAAATTTTCAGACTGGGCGGCCCCAATTGTCCCAGTATTGAAGCTTGATGGTACTATGAGGTTGTGTAGGGGCTATAAACTTAGTGTCCTCACTGGAGCAGTATCTCATTCAGAGAATGGAAGACATGCTGGCCTCTTTAGCTGGGGGAGAAAAATTCACAAAACTAGGCATGAGTCATGCCTATCAGCAATTGTATGTTACAGTGAACATGCACAAAGGACTGTTTACTTATACGAGGTTACCTTTTGGGATTAGTTCCAGCCCAGCAATATTCCAGAGAACTATGGAGGACATTCTCCAGGGTCTCTCCAAGTAGTGGTGTACCTGGATGATATTCTTCTGACAGGGAAGGATGACAAGGACCATTTAGGAACAATGGATCAAGTGCTTCAGCGCCTTGAAGCGGCAGGGCTACGACTGAAAAGGAGCAAATGTAGCTTCATGGAAAAAGAATTACATTTCTGGGACATAGGGTGGATACCACTGGAATTCATCCCATACCAGAAAAAGTGCAGGTCATACAGGACGCGCCTGCAGCTGCTTCAGTGACCAAACTCAAAGCCTTCTTAAGGCTATTGAATTATTACAATCGTTTCTTGCCAAACCTTTCAACACTGCTGGCACCACTTCATAAAATGCTTAGGAAGGATGAGACGTGGAGATGGGGGTCAGAACAAATAAAAGCATTTCAGCAAGCCAAGGAGCTCTTGCAGACCAGTAAGGTGTTGGTGCATTATGATGAGTAGGAGGAGCTGATACTCTCCTGTGATGCGTCGCCTTATGCTCACTGGATGCCAGATGGAGGCGAACGCCCAATTGGGGTTGTCTCACGCATCTTATCTGCAGCCAAAAAGAACTATTCACAGTTAGATAAGGAGGGTTTAGAGGTCATATTTGGGGTGCAGAAGTACTTACATGGGAGGAAGTTTGCAATCTGTACCGACCATAAACCACTTATCAGTTTACTGAACGAGATGAAGGCAGTACCTCAGATTGCATCTCAGCGAATAATGAGATGGGCTGTAATCTTAAGGGCCTATGAATATGTGATCACATACAGAGCAGGGAAGGATAACAGAAATGTGGATGCGCTTAGTCAACTCCCAGTGCCCTCACCCCCTCAAAGCCCTTCACCTGTAGAGCATATAATGTTGATGGAGCAGGAAACAAGTCCACTGATGACCTCTGAGCAAATCCAGAGATAGACAGCTACAGACCCAATACTGTCGAGTCCGCGAGTTTGTGAAGTGAGGTTGGCCTGATCACCTAGAGGAACCAGGGTTTATATCTTTCCGAAAGAGACAACATGAGCTGAGCGTGCAGGATGGTTGTGTGTTTTGGGGAACTCGCATCATTGTGCCAGAGAAGGCACGCTCCTCTTTGTTAGCCCAGTTGCACCAGTCCCACCCAGGCATAACAAGAATGAAAGGCCTGTTGAGGAGCTATCTATGGTGGCCTCAGTTGGATGCTGACATTGAAGTAAGAGTAAAGTCTTGTAATGAGTGTCAAGAACAGAGAAAAGCACCGCCAAGGGCATTTTTACATCTCACATCCTAATTGAGTGGCCTGCCAAGCCATGGAGGAGAAATCATATGGACTATGCAGTTACTTTCATGGGTAAAATGTTTTTAGTGTTGGTGGATGCACATTCCAAGTGGACTGAGGCATACCCTGTGAGCTCTGCAACCACAGCTGCCACACTAGTTAGTCTTAGACATTGTTTCAGCATTCATGGTATTCCAGAAATGATTGTGTCAGACAGTGCACAGAGTTTTGTCAGTGATGCCAGCAAAGAGTTCATGGCAAGAAATGTAATCACTCACAACACCCATCAAATGGGTTAGCAGAGTGAGCACTTCAGACTTTTAAGGAGCTAATGAAGAAGAGCTCAGGAGAAACCCTACAGTCAAAGCTGTACAGAGCATTGTTCAACTACCGAATAACCCCACAGTCAACCACTGGACACTCGCCCGCATAGCTATTGATAGGAAGGAACTTCCGTTGCACACTAGATCTGATACATCCAAACCTCAAGGCTAATGTTGAAGCAAAGCAAGTCAACCAGAAAGCCAGTACCGAGGAATCTGGTAAATCATCCAAGCCAGAGTTAAGGCACTCGGAAAGAGTCAGAAAGCCATCAGCTTATTTGGAGGACTTTTGTTCTCTGTTAAGAGTAAACAGTAAATATGAGAGTATTTCAAGCTTAAAGTGGAAGGAATATAATATATTGTTTAGGCCATACCCTGCCAGAACCAGTAGGGGCAGTAGTCGTTTAGCAGTACAGAGCTATTCCCCTTTAAGAGAGGAGAGGAAAGTTTGGCTGTGAGCCTGAAAAAAAGCTGTTCATGTAGTTTAAGGCAGGGCTGTAAAAGAGTGAAGCTTCATTTGCCCCATCTGTGCCATCCCTTATATTTTTGGTCACAAGATACTACAAACAATATTGTTATTTTCAGAGGGAAACTTCTAAAGATAAAACAGTGTTCAAATGGCTACCTATGCATAACAAAATAAAAATGTTGAAGGATGTTGACGGACATAAATATAAAGCATATATTTATAAGGTGTGAAGGTGAGTCAGTAACTGTTGTTCATTCGTTCTTTCTCTTTTTTGTTACTTTCTGTCTCTCTCTAAAATTAGTTGTGAACACACACAAGGTACGACACGACGTGCGACACAAGGTAAGCTGACTGATGTATTTAATGCATTCTTGGTGCCACTGCAAATGCCACTCTCAAGAGGGATGTCACACTGACATGACGTTTTTAGGCAGAGTTCCTGATGTCAAATGTAAATGATTGTAATGTATTGCGCACTTGAGCCCCATGTAAAACAATGAATGTCGTAAACCTTTGAGGTAACTTCACTGTAATGCCACATTTTAAGTCAAATAAATTAGGTCAGTTGTACATAAACCTGAAAATATCCCACATAATACTTAACAGGACGTTAAAAGGACCTTTTTGGGTAAAACTTTCTTCTTTCCCATTGGATCCTGGCTTCGTCTACTTGCATATTGGGTGTTTCTTCCCGTTTGTTTTACTCACCATCAAAGTGTTTATCTTTAATTTCTTAATTATCTAAAGAAACATATAATGAAATTGGGATTTTGGATTTGATGAGTAAAGCAAATTATCTTTGTGATGAATGCTTGTTCTGCTTAGTTTGCTCACATTCTTTTAATGAAAAATTGAGGGCACGTTTCCACCAAATAAAATAAAACATTTTGTTAATTTGTAATATTTTTCCTTCTCTATTGACAGTAGTTGCTAACTGGCAGACCCAGTTAGACACTTGCTGTAAAATCCAACAAATGAGGCTTTAATACAAAGAGGATTGGCAAGAATCGTAGTCGTGGTACAGGCATGGGTCAAATACAAAATAGCATAAAGGCAAAACAGAGCAATCGTAACCAGCAAGGCAAAGACAAAAGGCAACAATGAGAAATCAAGAAAAAGAGTCCAATAATCCAAAAAGGCAACCGAAAAGACAGTGAAAATGCTCAGTGGTTCTGCAGGAGAAACAATACTACTGGCTAAGCTAAAGCCCGGCCGTATAAACTAAACTAAACAGGTCATATGACATAGAAGACAGGTGTAGAGAATCAGTACTCAGGAGACTGATGATTGGTTGAATGAGGAAGTTCAGTCACATGGTCTCCCAAAGAGTTTTGGGAAGTGCAGTCTTTGTGTGAAATGAGGTCGGTGGATGCGTGACAGCACCACACAAAGAGTCCGGGTTGGCCACGGAATGAGTCAGCCTTAGTATTATGAGATCCTGGGCGATATGTAATTTTGAATTTAAACCTTAAAAAGAACAGAGACCAGTGTGCCTGATGGGGTCTAAGACATTTTGCATTACGGAAATACTCAAGGTTCTTATGATCTGTCAGAACAGTAAATGAGTGATTAGCACCCCTTAAACAAAGCCACCATTCTTTGAGAGCTAATTTCATGGCAAGAAAAGAAGGCAAAGAATGCAAAGGAGGATGCAGAATATCGTCTATATAGGTGATAACAAACCGACCAATCAAGTCCCGTAGATCATCATTTACAAATGCCTGAAACACAGAAGGGGCATTAAATAAACCAAAAGGCATGACAAGGTATTCATAGTGGCCCCTAGTGGTAGCAAATTCTATCTTCCACTTGTTTCCCTCTCTGACTCTCACAAGATTGTATGCACTATGTAAGTCTAATTTGGTAAAATACTTAGCTCCTTGGAGTTGTTCTAAGGCTACTGGGATTAGTGGGAGAGGACAGGGGTATTTCTTAATCACTTGGTTTAATGCTCTATAATCTATACAAGGACAAAGGGCACCATCCTTCTTTTTAACAAAGAAAAACCCTGAGACTGCTAGTGAGGCTGCTAAATCCCTGTTCCAATGCTTCCTGTATATAAGTATTCATAGCCTGTTCCTCTTCCTGAGTTAATGGTCAAATTCTAGATTTGGGCAAAGTAGCATTTTCAATGGGGTAACTTAGTGGCATTTCCCTTATCAAAAACTTCTTGGAGATCAGAATGTAATGCTACAAGTAGTGTCTGCGTTAGGACTTTCCATTGATGTAGAGCTGACCTGAAAGATAAGGCAATTCTGATAACAATATTCTGACCAGGCTATTACTGAGTAGGAGGACCAAGAAAAACGTGGATGATGCTTTTCGAACCAGTGGAGACCTCGTATCACAGAGAACTAAGGATTCTAAGACTAAGAAGAAAATTTGTGTATTATGAAGTGCACTGGCACACATTCCAATAGAGTTTCTTCAGTGATGGATCTTGGTCCCACAGGCTTTCCATCTAGTGCAGCAATACTTAAGGGAACCTTCAAAGGCATAACAGGAATGCAGCTGCTCAACTAGCCTTGTATGAATCAAGCTTCCTTTAGCTGCAGAATTGATCAGGGCTGGAACGACAGAGGAGAGATTTTGGCAGTAGATAGTCACAGGCATGAGGGAAGACTTAAAAACCAACTCCTTTGTGGGAATACTCACCACATACTTTCCAGTGTCCTTATATATGTGCGGACAAGCACTGCAGTCTCGTAGAACATGACCAGCACCTCCACAGTAGAAGCACAGCCTTTCATTCACACAACAAATGAATAAGTGGTTTACTTGGTAGTACGGACACTTTCTCACAAGGGCTTACTTGCTGTGGCCAGTTTCCTGGTTTTGGTGTAGAAGTAGCAGTGATGTGAACTTGAAGCATATCTCTGTCTATCTCTACGCCTCAAACAATTGACCATTGCCTGTCCGAGATCTTTCTAAGTCTATCGAGCTCTTTATTACATTCCCTTTCCAAGAGATACTGCCATTGCTCCTGTGCTGCTTTGACACGACCTTCTATTTCTGATCAATATTGATTTAATTTAACCTTCTACTACCCCCACATTTTCTTCTTTTGCTTCCTGAAAAGACTGTTTGTCTGAATACATTTGACTGAAAGTTCACTAAGTTGCTCTGTAGGTTCTCTACCTTGCTGATACTCTGCCATGACGGTATAAAAACCAAGCCCCAAATTTCCAATATGATAACCAAGCTGTATTCCCTCACTATAATAGGGTGTAAATACACACAATGCGTTAGCTAAGTCCCTGTTCAGGCGCCAAACTGTAATAAACCTCTTTGAAAAATGGTCTGACTACTTTGTCTGAAGGGGACTCTAATCCAGCAGCTTGTAACCTTGCACAGAATGGAACCACAGCCTTATACTTCATGCACAAAGCATGTATTTACACCCATAATATTTACAAAACATACAACCAGTTATGAGTGTTGTATTTGAGTAGTCATTTGAGTAGGAACTGTCTTTAAGTCTGAATCAGGGTTTAAGTCTCTGTTTGAAGGAAACAAAGGAATGAGCCGTGAGTCCAAAAAGGTGTTGTTTCCCAGGCCAGCTTTAGATGATCAATTGAAGGCAGTGCAAAGGAGTTAGATGTGATGATCCTGGTTTTCTCAACAGTTCATCTTGTTTTCCCAAAATTTCGACAGTGTTAAAATATTAAGAAAATGACATTATATTGATGTTATTTTAAATTTTGAGAGGTCAAACATGAGCCACAGTTTATCATACAGCTTCCAGAAGGTGGTGAGAAAACAACAGGCGACTTTCTTTCACCTGATGGAAACTGGCTTCCATTTTGTTGGATGGGCATCTCTGAGCATTACGAATGGCAGCCATGTTAACACCAAGAATGTGTCAAGTTTTTCACAGATATTAAACAGTGTACATAATCGTTGAGTCAGCATTTACCATCAACCTTGGTGATGGTGGTTTATTATAATAATCTTATCCTGGAATATAATATATTGTTTAGGCTGTACCCTTCCAGAACCAGTAGGGGCAGTAGTCGTTTAGTAGTACAGAGCTATTTGCCTTTAAAAGAGGAGGAGAATGTTTTGTTGTGAGCCTGAAAAAAGCCTGTTCATGTAGTTTAAGGCAGTGCAGTAAAATAGTGAAGCTTCATTTGCCCCATCTGTGCCATCCCTTATATTTTTGGTCACAAGATACTACAAAGAATATTGTTATTTTCAGAGGGAAACTCCTAAAGATAAAACAGTGTTCAAATGGCTACCTATGCATAACAAAATAAAAATGTTGAAGGATGTTGACGGACATAAATATAAAGCATATATTTATAAGGTGTGGAGGTGAGTCAGTAATTGTTGTTCATTCGTTCTTTCTCTTTTTGTTACTTTCTCTCTTTCTCTCTAAAATTAGGCGTAGTGACACAAGGTGCGACACAAGGTGCGACACAAGGTGCGACACAAGGTAAGCTGACTGATGTATTTAATGCATTCATGGTGCCGCTGTCAAACACCACTCGTGCCACTGACATGGTGTTTTTAAGCAGAGTTCCTGCTTAATTCATTTACATTCATTTACATCCAAATGTAAATAAATAATGTGTTACTCACTTGAGCCCCATGTAAAACAATGCATGTCGTAAACCTTTGAGGTAACTACACTGTAATCACACATTTTAAGTCAAACAAATTAAGTCAGTTGTACATAAACCTGAAAATATCCCACACATTACTCAGCTGTTTTAAGGGAATGATTTTGTACACTCAAAAGGGAATTTTTGAGTTGAATCAACTTATTTCAGTCAAATTTAGTCTGTTGCCATAGCAGCTTTAAAACCGCTGAATTCTAAAAATGAAACTGAGCTCCTGTTGGTTTTAATTGTTTCTATCCCATTAAAGTTACTCAGCAAATGTGCAGAACTGAGCGAAGCTCAGTGAGCTGTGGTGTTTAAGTGAAACGTAGTGACACGTTTGTTTAGTTAACAGGATGTTTTTGGGTAAAACTTTCTTCTGTCCCATTGGCTCCTGGCTTCATCTATTTGCATATTGGGTGTTTCATCCTGTTTGTTTTACTCACCATCTGTGTTTTCATTTTGTTTCTTAATTATCTTACAACCCCATTTCCAAAAAAGTTGGGGCGCTATGCAGAATGTAAATAAAAAATAGAATGCAATGACATGCAAATCATGTAAACCATATTTTTAAAAGAACATACTACAAAGACAACATAGTAAATGTTGAAACTGAGAAAATGTATTGTTTTTTAAAAAATATATGCTCATTTTGAATTTGATGGCAACAACATGTTCCAGAAAAGTTGGGACGGGGACCTGTTTACCACTGTGTTTCATCACCTCTTCTTTTAACAACACTCTGTAAGCGTTTGGGAACTGAGGAGACACTGCTGTAGTTTTGAAAGTAAAATGTTTTCTCATTCTTGTTTGATACAGAATTTCAGCTGTTCAACAGTTCGGGGTCTCCTTTGTCATATTTTTCATTTCATGTTGTGTCAGAGGTTTTCAGTGACAGGTCTGGACTGCAGGCAGGCCAGTTTAGGCCCTGGACTCTTTTAATATGGAGTAATGCTGCTGTAATACATGCAGAATGTGGTTTGATACCATCCTGCTTAAATAATCAAGGCCTTACCTGAAAAAGACGTCGTCTGGATGGCAGCATATGTTGCCAAAACATGTTTATATCGTTCAGCATTAATGTGCCTTCACAGGTGTACATGTCACCCGTGCCATGTGAACTAATGCCCCCCTATACCATCATGAATACTGGCTTTTGAACTGTTGAAACCTCTTTGAAAAATGGTCTGACTACTTTGTCTGAAGGGAACTCAGCAGCTTGTAACATTGCACAGAATGGAACCACAGCCTTATACTTCATGCACAAAGCATGTATTTACACCCGTAATATTTACAAAACATACAACCAGTTATGAGTGTTGTATTTGAGTAGTCATTTGAGTAGGAACTGTCTTTAAGTCTGAATCAGGGTTTAAGTCTCTGTTTGAAGGAAACAAAGGAATGAGCCGTGAGTCCAAAAAGGTGTTGTTTCCCAGGCCAGCTTTAGATGATCAATTGAAGGCAGTGCAAAGGAGTTAGATGTGATGATCCTGGTTTTCTCAACAGTTCATCTTGTTTTCCCAAAATTTCGACAGTGTTAAAATATTAAGAAAATGACATTATATTGATGTTATTTTAAATTTTGAGAGGTCAAACATGAGCCACAGTTTATCATACAGCTTCCAGAAGGTGGTGAGAAAACAACAGGCGACTTTCTTTCACCTGATGGAAACTGGCTTCCATTTTGTTGGATGGGCATCTCTGAGCATTACGAATGGCAGCCATGTTAGCACCAAGAATGTGTCAGGTTTTTCACAGATATTAAACAGTGTACATAATCGTTGAGTCAGCATTTACCATCAACCTTGGTGATGGTGGTTGATTATAATAATCTTATCCTGGAATATAATATATTGTTTAGGCTGTACCCTTCCAGAACCAGTAGGGGCAGTAGTCGTTTAGTAGTACAGAGCTATTTGCCTTTAAAAGAGGAGGAGAATGTTTTGTTGTGAGCCTGAAAAAAAGGCTGTTCATGTAGTTTAAGGCAGTGCAGTAAAATAGTGAAGCTTCATCTGCCCCATCTGTGCCATCCCTTATATTTTTGGTCACAAGATACTACAAAGAATATTGTTATTTTCAGAGGGAAACTCCTAAAGATAAAACAGTGTTCAAATGGCTACCTATGCATAACAAAATAAAAATGTTGAAGGATGTTGACGGACATAAATATAAAGCATATATTTATAAGGTGTGGAGGTGAGTCAGTAACTGTTGTTCATTCGTTCTTTCTCTTTTTTGTTACTTTCTGTCTCTCTCTAAAATTAGTTGTGAACACGACACAAGGTACGACACGACGTGCGACACAAGGTAAGCTGACTGATGTATTTAATGCATTCTTGGTGCCACTGCAAATGCCACTCTCAAGAGGGATGTCACACTGACATGATGTTTTTAGGCAGAGTTCCTGATGTCAAATGTAAATGATTGTAATGTATTGCGCACTTGAGCCCCATGTAAAACAATGAATGTCGTAAACCTTTGAGGTAACTTCACTGTAATGCCACATTTTAAGTCAAATAAATTAGGTCAGTTGTACATAAACCTGAAAATATCCCACATATTACTTAACAGGACATTAAAAGGACCTTTTTGGGTAAAACTTTCTTCTTTCCCATTGGATCCTGGCTTCGTCTACTTGCATATTGGGTGTTTCTTCCCGTTTGTTTTACTCACCATCGAAGTGTTTATCTTTAATTTCTTAATTATCTAAAGAAACATATAATGAAATTGGGATTTTGGATTTGATGAACTCAAAAAGTTAAATTAAGTTAACTAGAATTTATGATGGCACAATTGTGATGTGTTTATTCTAATCTAACACAAAGATTTTAGTTTATAACCTTTGAGGGAACAACAGACATATCGGCCTCCAGCCCTGGAGGGTCAGTGGCCAGCACAGTTTGGTATTTCCCACACTCAGCCATCCCCTCTGTTGGCCAAAACAAGCAAAGTCTGCCCATCTGCTCTGTGGCCAGGTCTTTCTTTGGACTTTTCAGTGTGTTTTTTATTTCACATTTAAAAACGGGGATATTTCCAGGGATAGCTCCAGCCAGGGGCAGGCCACCAAAAATTTTGACTGTCCTTGGAAAACAGGGACATCTGGTCATGCTAGTCTTGCTCTATTACTGAACAGCTGTGTAAAGTAAATTATTTTTGTGATTTTGTGCTTGTTCTGCTTATTTAGTTCGCTCACATTTAAAAAAAACCCAAAAAAAACAAGAGAGCCCATTTCCATTTTTTTGTTACATATGCATAATAAAATAAAAATGTTGAAGGATGTTGACGGGTATAAATATCAAGCATATATTTATAGCGTGTGGAGATGAGTCAGTAATTATTGTTCATTCCTTCTTTCTCTTTTTGTTACTTTCTCTCTCTCTAAAATTAGGCGTGGTGACACCAGGTATGACACAAGGTAAGCTGACTGAGGTATTTTAATGCATTCATGGTGCCGCTGTCAAGCGCCACTCTCAAGAGAAATGTTCCACTGACATGGTGTTTTTAAGCAGAGCTCCTGATGTTAAATGTAAATAAATAATGTGTTACTCACTTGAGCCCCATGTAAAACAATGCATGTCGTAAACCTTTGAGGTAACTACACTGTAATCACACATTTTAAGTCAAATAAATTACATCTGTTGTACATAACACTGAAAATATCCCACATATTACTCAGCTGTTTTAAGGGAATGATTTTGTACACTCAAAAGGGAATTTTTGAGTTGAATCAACTTATTCAGTCATGTTTAGTCTGTCGCCATAGCAGCTTTAAAACCGCTGAATTCTAAAACTGGAACTGAGCTCCTGCTGGTTTTAATTGTTTCTATCCCATTAAAGTTACTCAGCAAATGTGCACAACTGAGTGAAGCTCAGTGAGCTGTGGTGTTTAAGTGAAATGCAGTGACACATTTGTTTTGTTAACAGATTCTTTTTGGATAAAACATACTTCTTTCCCATTGGCTCCTGGCTCTGTCTGTTTGCATATAGATGGATGGATGGATGGATGGATAGATAGATAGATAGATAGATGGATAGATAGATAGATAGATAGATAGATAGATAGATAGATCACTTTATTAATCCCAGAGGGAAATTCTTCTATGGCAGCAGTACAAAGCACAGCAAAGATCAAAACAAGAGCAAAATAAACGAGCAAAGTTTTGTCGTACACTATTCACATATATATGAATAGAAAATAAAGATAAATAATAAAATATACTTACACAATAAAATTACTGTACAGTACAAACAATTGACAATGCAGTGGTGCATGTTCCCTCCGGTGAGTGAACTAGTGACTATGTAGTGTAACAATAGGCTATGTTAACAGTTGTGCAATATGACATTCATGGATGCATAAACAAAGCAACAGTGCAATGTGCAAGATTTGTGGACAAATAAACAAAGTGGCAGTGCAATATGAAATATGTATAAATATACAATCAAAAAGGCAGTGCAAGACCTGAGCCTTCTCAGAAAGTAGAAACTGCTCATCCGCTTCCTGTACACAGCCTCTGTGCTGGCCCTCCAGTCCAGTTTGTTTTCAAACCCAACACCCAGATATTTGTAGGTGTTTACCAGCTTGACGTTCTGACCAATGGTGGTCACGGGACTGATCGTGGTCCTCTTCCTCAAGAAGTCCACCACCTCTCCTTGGTCTCATTCCCGTTGGTGTTTGAGGAACCACCTACTCCTCAGTCAACAAAGCTTTCCACAAGGTTTCTATATTCTCATTCCTGCCCATCCCTAATGCACCCAACCACCACAGAGTCATCTGAAAATTTTTGAAGGTGGCAGAGGTCCGACCTGTATTGGAAGTCCATTGTGTACAGGGTGAAGAGGAAAGGGGAAAGCACAGTTTCCTGAGGTGCTCCAATGCTGCTGACCGGATGATCTGACAGGCAGGTTTCCAACTGCACATACTGGGGTCTTCCAGACAGGTAGTCCAAGAACCATGCAATCATGGACTTGACCACCTGCACTTTATCCATCTTCTACCCACCATAAGAGGTTGGATGGTATGAAATGCACTTGAGAAGTCAAACCAAGTGATTCTCACTATGGTGTTGTTCTGGCAGAAATGGGAATGTGCCTTTTGCAGTGGATAAATAACAGCATTATCCATGCCAACCTACTTTCCAGGAAACAGCTGAACTGAGGTCCGAGATGTGACAACACTAGTCTCTCCAGGACTTTCATGATGTGGGATGTAAGGGCCACTGGTCTGTAGTCACTGAAAGAGGAGATAGATGACTTCTTTGGAACAGCAACCAGGCAGGATGTTTTCCACAGCACTGGCACATGCCCTTGTTTAAGGCTGCAGTTGAAGAGATGCTGAAGAATCCCACATAGCTGAGAGAAACAAACCTTCAAGACTCTCGGGCTGATCCCATCTGGTCCAGCAGCTTTGCTCACTTTCAACTTCTTCACCTGGCTGGTTGCCACCTCTAGGAGGGTGTGACTCTTCAGACAATGGCTGTGTAGTGGAAGAGTGTGTATAGGGGTGTGAGAGAGGTGTAGGTGCAGGGAGAGAGTGTGTGCATTTTGGGTGTTTCTTCCCGTTTGTTTTACTCACCATCAACGTATTTTCATTTAATTTCTTGTGAGTGGTGGAGAGTGAAACATGATTAAAATCCCCAGAGATGGCACTGAAACTGTTTGGGTACAGAGTCTGAAGTCTTGTGATAGCCGAGAGTATGACGTCACACGCCTCTTCCACATAAGCTGCCAGCGGGATGTAAACAATGACAATAATGGCGATAGTGAATTCCCTCAGCAGATAGTACGGACGTAAACCAGCAGCTAAAAGTTCAGTGTTTGGGCAACAGTGACTCTCCTTCACAGTAATATGTCCTGGATTGCACCATCTGTTATTTACTAACAGTGCAACCCCTCCACCTTTCTTCAACCTCCCAGTTTAGTGTCTCTGTCCCCCTCACAATCTGAAAGCTGGTAATTGAAATGCTAGAGTCCAGAATATTAGCATGAAGCTATGTCTCAGAGAAACACAGCACACTGCACCCCTGATACTCCTGCTGGGTGCTGATCAGCACATTCAGTCCACCTTATTACTGAGAGACCTCAAGTTCCCCATGATGATGGAGGGGATGAAGGGCTTGTAACGTCTCCTCTTTGCTTTCGCTTTAAATCCATCTCTGCGTCCCCTGAACGGTCTCTGTAGTTCTCTAGGAATGGGAACATTAACAGAGCGTGTATGGAGTGTATAGAGCTCCAGAAGCTGCTCCCGCAAGCAGATAAGGTGAGCTGCTCTCTCCACACTGTTCACCACTCCGAGTCAGAAAAGTACTCATAACTAAAAAACAACTTGTCTGAACAAGACAAAACTATGTAGAAGTGAGAGGGGGAAAACTAAGAAATAAACATCGTTAGAAATACGCCACCAGCACGGCACTACTTTTTTGGATATTATTATTATTATTATTATTATTATTATTATATATATGTTGGGTGTTTCTTCCAGTTTGTTTTAGTCACTATCAACATTTTTTCATTTCATTTCTTAATTACCAATGAAACATATAATGAAACTGGGTTTTAGGATTTGATTAACTCAAAAAGTCAAATTAAAACAATTAGAATTTACAAGTTGCACAAACGTGATGTGTTTACGTTAATCTAACAAAAAAATTTTAGTTAGTAAAACCTTTGAGGGAACAACAGACGTATCGACCTCCAGCCCTGGAGGGTCAGTGGCCAGCACAGTTTGGTAATTGCCCTACTCCGCCAGCCCCCTCTGTTGGCCAAAACAAGCAAAGTATGCCAATCTGCTCTGTTGCCAGGTCTTTCTTAGGACTTTCTGGTGTGTTTTTATTTCACATTTAATAACGGGGATATTTCCAGGTATAGCTCCAGCCAGGGGCAGGCCACCAAAAATGGGGACTGTCCTCGGAAAACATCTGGTCATATAAGCCTTGGTCTAATACTGAACAGCTGAGCGCTGTGTAAAGCAAATTATCTTTGTGATGAATGCTTGTTCTGCTTAGTTAGTTTGCTCACATTCTTTTAATGAAAAATTGAGGGCACGTTTCCACCAAATAAAATAAAACATTTTGTTAATTTGTAATATTTTTCCTTCTCTATTGACAGTAGTTGCTAACTGGCAGACCCAGTTAGACACTTGCTGTAAAATCCAACAAATGAGGCTTTAATACAAAGAGGATTGGCAAGAATCGTAGTCGTGGTACAGGCATGGGTCAAATACAAAATAGCATAAAGGCAAAACAGAGCAATTGTAACCAGCAAGGCAAAGACAAAAGGCAACAATGAGAAATCAAGAAAAAGAGTCCAATAATCCAAAAAGGCAACCGAAAAGACAGTGAAAATGCTCAGTGGTTCTGCAGGAGAAACAATACTATTGGCTAAGCTAAAGCCCGGCCGTATAAACTAAACTAAACAGGTCATATGACATAGAAGACAGGTGTAGAGAATCAGTACTCAGGAGACTGATGATTGGTTGAATGAGGAAGTTCAGTCACATGGTCTCCCAAAGAGTTTTGGGAAGTGCAGTCTTTGTGTGAAATGAGGTCGGTGGATGCGTGACAGCACCACACAAAGAGTCCGGGTTGGCCACGGAATGAGGCCGACTGCAACGACCACCTTGCACGCTACCGGAGACCCGACAGGGAACACGCCCAGAGCTGCCACATTGCTGGATTGATGAGGAACCAGGAACTGGACTGGGAGAAGCCCTCCATGGGTGACCTCGAGGACGAGGAGCGACTTATCCGGGTGCTCACTGTGAAAGTCCGCAATTAAAGTGGATGGATAGTCCGCGTAGACTGTGACAACAGGTTTCCCTAGGGAAACATGAGACAATAGGTTTCAGGAGGCAAACATGAAAAGAACATGACACACGGTATTTGGGAGGCAGATCAAGCTTATAAGTAACACTGTTAACTTTATCAAGTATCTTAAATGGACCAATGTATTTAGGGTTCAGTTTCCTGCTGCAAAACTGAAGTACCAAGTCGACAGCCATACCCGGTCTCCAAGCTGGTAGGAGGGAGCATCACTGAGGTGGCGATCCGCTTGTTGTTTGTTTTGTCGTAGGGCCGTCTCAATTTGCTGATGGGTCTCCTCCCAAGCTCTGATGGACTCTAGTGAGCGCGTCAGCCTTAGTATTATGAGATCCTGGGCGATATGTAATTTTGAATTTAAACCTTAAAAAGAACAGAGACCAGCGTGCCTGATGGGGTCTAAGACATTTTGCATTACGGAAATACTCAAGGTTCTTATGATCTGTCAGAACAGTAAATGAGTGATTAGCACCCCTTAAACAAAGCCACCATTCTTTGAGAGCTAATTTCATGGCAAGAAAAGAAGGCAAAGAATGCAAAGGAGGATGCAGAATATCGTCTATATAGGTGATAACAAACCGACCAATCAAGTCCCGTAGATCATCATTTACAAATGCCTGAAACACAGAAGGGGCATTAAATAAACCAAAAGGCATGACAAGGTATTCATAGTGGCCCCTAGTGGTAGCAAATTCTATCTTCCACTTGTTTCCCTCTCTGACTCTCACAAGATTGTATGCACTATGTAAGTCTAATTTGGTAAAATACTTAGCTCCTTGGAGTTGTTCTAAGGCTACTGGGATTAGTGGGAGAGGACAGGGGTATTTCTTAATCACTTGGTTTAATGCTCTATAATCTATACAAGGACAAAGGGCACCATCCTTCTTTTTAACAAAGAAAAACCCTGAGACTGCTGGTGAGGCTGCTAAATCCCTGTTCCAATGCTTCCTGTATGTAAGTATTCATAGCCTGTTCCTCTTCCTGAGTTAATGGACAAATTCTAGATTTGGGCAAAGTAGCATTTTCAATGGGGTAACTTAGTGGCATTTCCCTTATCAAAAACTTCTTGGAGATCAGAATGTAATGCTACAAGTAGTGTCTGCGTTAGGACTTTCCATTGATGTAGAGCTGACCTGAAAGATAATGCAATTCTGATAACAATATTCTGACCAGGCTATTACTGAGTAGGAGGACCAAGAAAAACGTGGATGATGCTTTTCGAACCAGTGGAGACCTCGTATCACAGAGAACTAAGGATTCTAAGACTAAGAAGAAAATTTGTGTATTATGAAGTGCACTGGCACACATTCCAATAGAGTTTCTTCAGTGATGGATCTTGGTCCCACAGGCTTTCCATCTAGTGCAGCAATACTTAAGGGAACCTTCAAAGGCATAACAGGAATGCAGCTGCTCAACTAGCCTTGTATGAATCAAGCTTCCTTTAGCTGCAGAATTGATCAGGGCTGGAACGACAGAGGAGAGATTTTGGCAGTAGATAGTCACAGGCATGAGGGAAGACTTAAAAACCAACTCCTTTGTGGGAATACTCACCACATACTTTCCAGTGTCCTTATATATGTGCGGACAAGCACTGCAGTCTCGTAGAACATGACCAGCACCTCCACAGTAGAAGCACAGCCTTTCATTCACACAACAAATGAATAAGTGGTTTACTTGGTAGTACGGACACTTTCTCACAAGGGCTTACTTGCTGTGGCCAGTTTCCTGGTTTTGGTGTAGAAGTAGCAGTGATGTGAACTTGAAGCATATCTCTGTCTATCTCTACGCCTCAAACAATTGACCATTGCCTGTCCGAGATCTTTCTAAGTCTATCGAGCTCTTTATTACATTCCCTTTCCAAGAGATACTGCCATTGCTCCTGTGCTGCTTTGACACGACCTTCTATTTCTGATCAATATTGATTTAATTTAACCTTCTACTACCCCCACATTTTCTTCTTTTGCTTCCTGAAAAGACTGTTTGTCTGAATACATTTGACTGAAAGTTCACTAAGTTGCTCTGTAGGTTCTCTACCTTGCTGATACTCTGCCATGACGGTATAAAAACCAAGCCCCAAATTTCCAATATGATAACCAAGCTGTATTCCCTCACTATAATAGGGTGTAAATACACACAATGCGTTAGCTAAGTCCCTGTTCAGGCGCCAAACTGTAATAAACCTCTTTGAAAAATGGTCTGACTACTTTGTCTGAAGGGGACTCTAATCCAGCAGCTTGTAACCTTGCACAGAATGGAACCACAGCCTTATACTTCATGCACAAAGCATGTATTTACACCCATAATATTTACAAAACATACAACCAGTTATGAGTGTTGTATTTGAGTAGTCATTTGAGTAGGAACTGTCTTTAAGTCTGAATCAGGGTTTAAGTCTCTGTTTGAAGGAAACAAAGGAATGAGCCGTGAGTCCAAAAAGGTGTTGTTTCCCAGGCCAGCTTTAGATGATCAATTGAAGGCAGTGCAAAGGAGTTAGATGTGATGATCCTGGTTTTCTCAACAGTTCATCTTGTTTTCCCAAAATTTCGACAGTGTTAAAATATTAAGAAAATGACATTATATTGATGTTATTTTAAATTTTGAGAGGTCAAACATGAGCCACAGTTTATCATACAGCTTCCAGAAGGTGGTGAGAAAACAACAGGCGACTTTCTTTCACCTGATGGAAACTGGCTTCCATTTTGTTGGATGGGCATCTCTGAGCATTACGAATGGCAGCCATGTTAACACCAAGAATGTGTCAAGTTTTTCACAGATATTAAACAGTGTACATAATCGTTGAGTCAGCATTTACCATCAACCTTGGTGATGGTGGTTTATTATAATAATCTTATCCTGGAATATAATATATTGTTTAGGCTGTACCCTTCCAGAACCAGTAGGGGCAGTAGTCGTTTAGTAGTACAGAGCTATTTGCCTTTAAAAGAGGAGGAGAATGTTTTGTTGTGAGCCTGAAAAAAGCCTGTTCATGTAGTTTAAGGCAGTGCAGTAAAATAGTGAAGCTTCATCTGCCCCATCTGTGCCATCCCTTATATTTTTGGTCACAAGATACTACAAAGAATATTGTTATTTTCAGAGGGAAACTCCTAAAGATAAAACAGTGTTCAAATGGCTACCTATGCATAACAAAATAAAAATGTTGAAGGATGTTGACGGACATAAATATAAAGCATATATTTATAAGGTGTGGAGGTGAGTCAGTAATTGTTGTTCATTCGTTCTTTCTCTTTTTGTTACTTTCTCTCTTTCTCTCTAAAATTAGGCGTAGTGACACAAGGTGCGACACAAGGTGCGACACAAGGTGCGACACAAGGTAAGCTGACTGATGTATTTAATGCATTCATGGTGCCGCTGTCAAACACCACTCGTGCCACTGACATGGTGTTTTTAAGCAGAGTTCCTGCTTAATTCATTTACATTCATTTACATCCAAATGTAAATAAATAATGTGTTACTCACTTGAGCCCCATGTAAAACAATGCATGTCGTAAACCTTTGAGGTAACTACACTGTAATCACACATTTTAAGTCAAACAAATTAAGTCAGTTGTACATAAACCTGAAAATATCCCACACATTACTCAGCTGTTTTAAGGGAATGATTTTGTACACTCAAAAGGGAATTTTTGAGTTGAATCAACTTATTTCAGTCAAATTTAGTCTGTTGCCATAGCAGCTTTAAAACCGCTGAATTCTAAAAATGAAACTGAGCTCCTGTTGGTTTTAATTGTTTCTATCCCATTAAAGTTACTCAGCAAATGTGCAGAACTGAGCGAAGCTCAGTGAGCTGTGGTGTTTAAGTGAAACGTAGTGACACGTCTGTTTAGTTAACAGGATGTTTTTAGGTAAAACTTTCTTCTGTCCCATTGGCTCCTGGCTTCATCTATTTGCATATTGGGTGTTTCATCCTGTTTGTTTTACTCACCATCTTTGTGTTTTCATTTTGTTTCTTAATTATCTTACAACCCCATTTCCAAAAAAGTTGGGGCGCTATGCAGAATGTAAATAAAAAATAGAATGCAATGACATGCAAATCATGTAAACCATATTTTTAAAAGAACTTACTACAAAGACAACATATCAAATGTTGAAACTGAGAAAATTGATTGTTTTTTTTTAAATATATGCTCATTTTGAATTTGATGGCAACAACACGTTCCAAAAAAGTTGGGACGGGGACCTGTTTACCACTGTGTTTCATCACCTCTTCTATAAACAACACTCTGTAAGTGTTTGGGAACTGAGGAGACACTGCTGTAGTTTTGAAAGTGAAATGTTTTCTCATTCTTGTTTGATACAGAATTTCAGCTGTTCAACAGTTCGGGGTCTCCTTTGTCATATTTTTCATTTCATGTTGTGCCAGAAGTTTTCAGTGATGACAGGTCTGGACTGCAGGCAGGCCAGTTTAGGCCCTGGACTCTTTTAATATGGAGTAATGCTGTTGTAATACATGCAGAATGTGGTTTGACACCGTCTTGCTTAAATAATCAAGGCCTTACCTGAAAAAGACGTTGTCTGGATGGCAGCATATGTTGCCAAAACATGTTTATATCGTTCAGCATTAATGTGCCTTCACAGGTGAACATGTCACCCATGCCATGTGAACTAATGCCCCCCTATACCATCATGAATACTGGCTTTTGAACTGTGCACTGGTATCTAGCTGAGTGGTCTTTAGCCTGGAGGACACAGTGTCCATGATTACCAAAAAGAATTTCAAATGTCGATTCATCTGACCACAGGACACTTTTCCACTTCTCCTCAGTCAATTTTAAATGAGCTCAGGCCCAGAGAAGCAACAGGTGACTTTCTTTCACCTGATGGAAACAGGCTTCATTTTGTTGGATGGGCATCTCTGAGCATTAAGAATGGCAGCCATGTTAGCACCAAGAATGTGTCAGGTTTATCACAGATATTAAACAGTGTACATAATCGTTGAGTCAGCATTTACCATCAACCTTGGTAAACTGGTGGTTTATTATAATAATCTCCTCCAAGAATATTGTTATTTTCAGAGGGAAACTCCTAAAGATAAAACAGTGTTGAAATGGCTACATATGCATAACAAAATAAAAATGTTGAAGGATGTTGACGGACATAAATATAAAGCAAAGGTTTATGAAGTGTGGAGGTGAGTCAGTATTTATTGTTCATTCCTTCTTTCTCTTTTTGTTACTTTCTCTCTTTTTCTCTAAAATTAGGTGTGGTGAACACGACACGAGGTAAGCTGACTGACGTATTTTAATGCATTCATGGTGCCACTGTCAAACGCCATTCTTGACAGGAATGTGCCACTGACACATAGTTTTTAAGCAGAGCTCCTGATGTCGAATGTAAATAAATAATGTATTACGCACTTGAGCCCCATGTAAAACAATGCATGTCGTAAACCTTTGAGGTAACTACACTGTAATCACACATTTTAAGTCAAATAAATTAAATCTGTTGTACATAAACCTGAAAATATCCCACACATTACTCAGCTGTTTTAAGGGAATGATTTTGTACACTCAAAAGGGAATTTTTGAGTTGAATCAACTTATTTCAGTCAAATTTAGTCTGTTGCCATAACTGCTAAAATCAAAAAATGAAGCTGCGCTGCTGTTAGTTTTAATTGTTTCTATCCCATTAAAGTTACTTAATGAATGGGCAGAATTGAGTGAAGCTCAGTGAGCTTATGTCTGGTCTTATATGTGAGTTGTTCTTGGGAAGGTACTTTTTACTTTCAATTGCTATTCATTAGTCACATGACTCAGTCAGTATTTTACAGAAGCAACAGTATTCAGATTTACATATGTGTTTGGTTCACCCTACACATTTCTGGCTGTAGACTTCAGTGCACTTCACATACATGCTTTAGAAACAAGGCAAAGCAGCTACACATTTTTTTCCAATAAAAACAACTGAAAAAAACCCAAACAAGTTTTATAAATTAAAAACAAAAACACATGATGTAACGTATTACACACCCACCCCTGGGTGAGCTCCACTGGCTGACACTTATTCCAGACACACACCATTTGTGTTATCTTATTACTCTAAGTTCATGAATTTATCAGTATTTCCAACAATATGACAAGAACTTTAACAACAGTGCCTGTGTTTACATGCCAAGATTTTTGCCGATCTGATTAAATACATTCAGATTATAGATTCAGACTGAGGTGTTTATATTCTCACTCTACTCAACAATCTGATGAAAATCACTGTTTATATGCTCAGTACAAGTAATCTGATCCAAAATTATGCGCATGCGTAGAGAACCACTTAGTGTAGATGTTACCATTACAACCAGCATCATGTGAGTCCAGTTAACATGAGATGAGCAGCAGTGAGCAGTGCTTTCATTTTTAATTATTTTTTAATTAAAATGATGTCAGAATCTCGCATGTTGAATGTTATAAACTTTCTCTATGACGTGTAGAACGTACTTAAACTTTCTGATTGGGAATGTAATCAGATACAGGTGTTTATACTTATATTATTCTTCTATTTAACAGATTATTTACAGAATTATCCCCCTTGTTCAATCAGATTGTAATTGTATTCTGAATGGCCTTAATCGGACTAGTCCATTCTAATTGAGGTGTTTATATATTTTCTATTTCAATTGAACTATTAGTCAGATTATTAACGGATTATTAGGCTGCAATGTGGCTAATGTTGAGACAATTTCTAGTTTTTGCTGAGTTTAACTTGATAAAACTTTTACTTATGACTGTAACCTTCTTATGATGAAATTCTGATGTGATGTTAAGTTAAAGCAATGAGCTATGAGAAGGGTGTGCACTATGGTGATTCCACTGATAATGCGTAATAGTTTGATTTAAATAGCAGCTTTCTCAAACCCAAGCACAATTACAAAGTCTTTTAGTCCTTGGCCCAACATTTCCTTTATAAGAAACACGGGTCATATCTCAATCTGAGTCATAAGTCCATAATGTTCCTTTTAGTGGTGTATAGTTCTTCATGAGTCTTCATAAGTGTTGTGTGTTGTAGTTGGATGCTCAAGCCCCCCGGCGCTGTGCTGTCAAGGGTTGAATAACTCCTGCAATAGAGGTTGCTTCTGTGACCAGGCCTGCATGATGACTGGGGACTGCTGCCCAGACTACAGGCAAACCTGCGTACCACGTGAGTCTAAACACTTACAAACTTACCTGTTCTTAGCTTTAACCACAAGAATTCATATTCAGGTCCACTCACATCATAACAGACTAAACACATTCATATTCACTCACATTGAGTGCGCTTACATGTACTTAATAATCCGCTAAAATCAGATTTAGTCAGTAATCCGATCAACACATTTACATGCACTGGAGTAATCAGATAATGGGAAACTCCGGGTCTACATGAGTCAGGTAATAATCGGATTTCTGCTTTGCAACCAGCCACTAAACTCACAGAAGAAGACGTGACGTAAACGTAACGTAACTCAAACTTCATACCGTGGCTTATTTTTAAAACATCGCACCACTTTACCTAAAAATATGAACTTACATCATCTAGAAGATATGTAAATCCTTCATTTCCTGTTTGGTTTCAGCGCCGCTCCAACAGTGTTTTGCTGCATCTCGTGACATCCACCGTCTGTTCTCGCACAGACTGAGAAATCTGAAAGAAATCAGAGTAAGAGTTTACATGTACTGAGAAATCTGATTCCTGAGCTAAAGTCCAGCTCTCTTTATCAGATTTCTTAATCGGATTTCTATATCGGAGTGTGGTGTTTACATGACCATTTGAATAATCGGATAACTGCAGAAATCTGATTATGGTCAGATTATTGAGTGCATGTATACACACTCACTGATTTTACAATGGAACATCTATTTAAGGAGACAGCAAAAGAAAATAAATACATTACATTCACATATATTATTTGTAAAATGTTACCATTTGTTGTAAACATGCTTTACTTACATCCTTCAGTGGTGCCACAGTGGTCTCTACAGTGATAAAGTACAGCACACTTTTGGATAGATTTTTTGGTAGCAGGCTGTTTCTATTAATTATTTTTTTATTTTATTTGTTTTGTTTATTTTTTCTGCTGGCTTGTGAATGCAGAAGGAAGGTAGATGACTGCTAGGAAGCTTACTGGAGCTGTATAACTGTAGTAGTCTTCAATTATTACAGTGCAGAGAATTGATTATTCAAATGATAGAAATGACTCAGTAGACGAAGAAGACAAGAAGCTAAAAGCTAAAGTGAAAAAGATAGCGAGCGAAAAGGAAAACTCTTGAGGAGTATTCTGGAGAGTTCTGACAAATGGTGTGGCCTGCACATTTGCCCGGCATAAGCCCAAACGAGCATTTATGGGATGTGATGGAGAGGTCCTTGCACACCTGAGATCCTGCATCTACAAATACCACGGAACTGTGGGTGGCTATCCAGACGGCATGGCTCAACATCCCTCCAGATGTTTTCTGTCCACTTATGGAATCAATGCCACTTCGTCGGGCTAGAGGGGGTCCTACACAATACTAGTTCCTGTCCCATGACTTTTGGCACATCAGTGTATGGTTCTATGAAATAACTACATGGGGTGTAGAATGTAGTCATTTGTGTTGTATGTAGTCAGTTGTTGATATTTTGTGTAATTACATCATTTATGTTACTGATCAGTAATTCACCAATGCAAGGTAATCTGCATCTAGAAACTACTGATAGTTCCACAAGTACAGCTCTTACTACAGTTACTTTGTCAAGTACAACACCTTCCCCAGGGATAACCTTTAATACTTCACTAAAACACACATCCATGAATTTTGCTACTTTAGTGACACTGACATCTACAGCCAACCCTGGAAAGCTTTACATTTAAACACTGACAGTTGTTTTATTATAATTTTAAGAATCCTTTTTTACCATGTTAATATGTGCTGTCCTGTTAGAGACCAATGCAACAGCGAGCACACCAGGTACCACCCTCAGCACTCTACCACCAACCACAACTAGGAATGTGGCACAAACATCTTCAGCTTCAGTGCTTACAACTAATATCCCTGGTAAGTAGTAAACAATGCGGGTAAAAAAATCTTTTAAGCAGAAACAACTTCACAAGCAAAGGAGCACAGATCAGACAAAAAATTCACTAGAAATTGATGCAATTATGTCAAAAGCTTGGACTTATGCTGGCTCTTGACACAAACAAACAAACACACACACACACACACACACACACACACACACACACACATTTTTTAAGCTACTTGTTCTCCTGGGTCACAGAGGGTGCTGGAGCCTATCCCAGCTGTCATTGGGCGGAAGGCAGGATACACCCTGGACAGGTTGCCAGTCCATCACAGGGCAGTCTCGGTGGACTGTAATTATTTTACTGAAAGTCATTTCAGATGTTGACTAGTAATTGCCTATTGGGTGGGTCCAAGCATTTATTACACTCTTCAATAACTTAAGGGCCCCATATCATGGAAAACCAAATCCAGTCTTAAAGGCACAGTAAATCTGTGAAAACAGGATGAAGAAAGGTTGGAAAATGGTCACGTAAAATTTATATAATAATTTTAGCAAATGTTTCAAACTGTTTTGTTAGTGACAATTGTTAGTGACCATACATGCACTAGGTTTACTGGGCAATGGGGTCATACATACAATATGTTTGCTGGGCGATGGGCCCATACATGCATCATGCTTGTTTGGGTGATGGGCGACCACCAGTAGCTTGCAGGAATGAGTCGTTTGAACTCTGACAGCAAGAGCGACAGCAATCAACAATAGCACTGAGATACTGAGACACATGGAGTCCTGGAATATGTTGTGAATGTGTTATGAAATACAGATTGCCAGGTTAAATGTCTTAGTGAGGAAAGGAACGTGGACCATAACAACCTTCCTTTGTTGACCCTCTGGTGTCCACGAAAATGCTCAATGTTTCTATAGGTGTTTTTGCAATAATAGAATGCAGAAATAAGGTTCAAGGTTAGAGTTGCAAGAAATAAGGTTAGAGTTGCAAGAATTTCAGAATCAGACAATGGACATACAGCTAAGAATTCCTCACATTTTTCGATACACAATACTGTATCTTGCTCTTCTCTATGTCCGCTGAAACGTAGAAACTCTATGCGAATAGGTGGTTTACTTGGTAGTTCTCGGACACATTCTTACAACGGCTCACTTGCTGTGGGCAGTTTCCTGCTTTTGGTGTAGAAGTAGCAGTGACGTGAACTTGAAGCATAAACAAAGTTGCTGAGAACACGCTATTACACTAAAATATACTCAAAGTACATCCATGTTTTACTTAACAGTTTTTTAACTTTTCAGCTCAAAATAATGATTGGTTTTCTCGACATTTCATCTTGTTTTCCCAAAATTTTGACAGTGTTAAAATATTGAGAAAATTACATTATTTTGCAGTAATTTTAAATTTTGAGAGGTCAAAGTTCATCATCCTGCTGCCAGAAAGTGGTGAGAAAACAACAGGTGACTTTCTTTCACCTGATGGAAACAGGCTTCATTTTGTTGGATGGGCATCTCTGAGCATGTCAGACATGTTAGCGACAAGAATGTGTCAGGTTTTTACAGATATTAAACATTGTACATAATTGTTGAGTCAGCATTTACCATCATCCTTGGTAAACTGGTGGTTTATTATAATAATCTCCTCCAAGAATATTGTTATTTTCAGAGGGAAGATAAAGATAAAACAGTGTTCAAATGGCTACATATGCATAACAAAATAAAAATGTCCTGGAGGGTAGTCAGCACAGTTTGATAATACTCCCACTCAGCCAGCCCCCTCTGTTGGCTGTTGAATGTTGAAGGATGTTGACGGGTATAAATATAAAGCAAAGGTTTATGAAGTGTGGAGGTGAGTCAGTAATTATTGTTCATTCCTTCTTTCTCTTTTTGTTACTTTCTCTCTCTAAAATTAGGCGTGATGACACAAGTTGCAACACAAGGTGCGACACAAGGTAAGCTGACTGAGATATTTAATGCATTCATGGTGCCGCTGTCAAACGCCACTCTCTACAGGAATGTGCCTCTGACATGATGAGCTGTGGTGTTTAAGTGAAATGCAGTGACACGTTTGTTTTGTTAACAGGATCTTTTTGGGTAAAACTTTCTTCTTTCCCATTGGCTCCTGGCTTCGTCATATTGGGTGTTTCTTCCCATTTGTTTTACTCACCATCAACGTTTTTTCATTTCATTTCTTAATTACCCAATAAAATACATAATAACATTGGGATTTTGGATTTGATTAACTCAAAAAGTTAACTAGAATTTATGATGGCACAAACGTGATGTGTTTATGTTAATCTAACACAAAAAAATTAGTTATTATAATCTTTGAGGGAACAACAGAGATACCAAGCTACAGCCTACTGACCCTCCTGGAGGTTAGTCAGCACAGTTTGATAATACTCCTACTCAGCCAGCCCCCTCTGTTGGCTGTTGAATGTCGAAAGATGTTGACGGGTATAAATATAAAGCATATATTTATAAAGTGTGGAAGTGAGTCAGTAATTATTGTTCATTCCTTCTTTCTCTTTTTGTTACTTTCTCTCTTTCTCTCTAAAATTAGGTGTGGTGAACACAACACGAGGTAAGCTGACTGATGTATTTTAATGCATTTATGGTGCTGCTGTCAAACGCCACTCTTGACAGGAGTGTGCCACTGACATGATGTTGTTTTTAAGCAGAGTTCCTGATGTCAAATGTAAATGAATAATGTATTACTCACATGAGCCCCATGTAAAACAATGCATGTCATAAACCTGTGAGGTAACTACATAGTAATCCCAGATTTTAAGTCAAATAAATCACATCTGTTGTACATAAACCTGAAAATATTCCACATATTGCTCAACTGTTTTAAAGGAATGATTTTGTACACTCAAAAGGGAATTTTTGAGTTGAATCAACTTATTTCAGTCAAGTTTAGTCTGTTGCTATAACAGCTTTAAAACCGCTGCATTCAAAAAATGAAACTGCGCTGCTGTTGGTTTTAATCATTTCTATCCCATTAAAGTTACTCAGCAAATATGCAGAACTGAGTGAAGTTCATTTTCTTGGATTTTAGTGCACAATTTCTAGTTTAACTTGACAAAACTTTTACATATGACTGTAATTTTCTTATGATAAAATTTTGATGTGGTGGTAAGTTAAAGCAATGAGCTATGAGAAGGGTATGCACTATGGTGATCCTGCTTCATATATACAGTACTGTTCAGAAGCTTAATCACTTGTCAAATAAAAATTGTTATTCATTAACAACTTATACAGTTTGGCATGAAATGTTATAAACTAGCCACCAAAACATAAACTGGTCTTTTAGTCCTTGGCCCACATAAACTCCCTGGCAGTGTAAAAGTCTCCATTTTCACCACAGTGCAAGTCTCTCAGTAATAGGAATATAAGACTGTAGCATGGCATGTGCTACCCCGGGCTCAAGGAGGACGCTGGAGGCAGGGTTCAGGGTTGTAGCAGCCATTTCTTTAATTCAAACCAAACAAACAATACAAAACACCAAAACCTAGGCTGGCCACTTTTCAGTGGCTTCAGTCAGCTAGACTTTTCAGTCTTCTTCAAAATAAGCTTTTCAGCTCCTCAGTCTCTTGCTGCTGCTGCTCGTCCCCCTCTCTCTCTCTGTTCCCTCTCAGCTCTTTTAAAAGGCGCTCACGAGCCCCTGAGCCGAGAGGGAACGAGAGCTCGCCGCTCCGCCTCCCCGTCACCGCCCCCAGCTTGCAGCTCAGCTGCCCGGGTTGAACGTGAGATGTAGTGAAGCGGCCTCGCTGCGTAACAGGGGGCGGGGTCCAGGCGGCGGAGCTCGGGACTCGCTCCTTGCCCTGGTGCCTCTTGTTGCCGACACCGTCGTCGTCTTCCTCCTCCTGCCGTCACTTGCGTCACTCAGGGGAGCCTGGGCTTTGCGCTCCACCCCCTCCCCACTCGTGGCTCTCTCCCTGGCGTCCTGGCCGAGGTTCGTCGCCACTGAGTGTTCAGACCCCGCCTTCCTGCCGGCTCTCGCGGCCATCATCGTCGGGGCCCAGGGGGCGGGCGCATGCCACATACCCCCACCACCCAACTCAGGCTGGGAACCCGGCCTGAGCCACCGCACCCCCCCCGGGGAAGGACCCAGCGCCGGGCGGGAGAAGCCAGGGTCGCACTGACTTCGGCGGCAGGCGGGGCCTCGGCGACGTCTTCGACGGCAGGCGGGGCCTCTGCGACGTCTTCGGCGGCAGGCGGGGCCTCGGCGACGTCTTTGGCGACAGTGAGGGGAGGGGAAAGGAAAAGAGCCCTGAGTCCTCTCGGAGCGGGTATGGGAGGGGAGAGAAGGGCTGCTCCGAACCTACTCGGAGCGAGGACGGGAAGGGAAGGAAGGTGTGCTCCGACCGCTCTCGGAGCAGGGACAGGAGGGGAGAGAAGCTGGGCTCTGGCGCCCTCAGAGCAGGAAGGAGAGGGGGTAGAAGGGCTCCAGTCCTCCTGGGAGCTGGGACTGGAGGCTTGAGGGGTGGTGAGAGGGGGGGCTCCTGCCCCCACGCACACTGAGGGTTGCCGCTCCGCCAGCAGGCTCCTGACCATCTGACGGGTCTCCACCTGCTGCTCCTCAAGCTGCTTCCAGTGCTTTTCAGCGTCCTGGAAGACAGCCTGCAGCTCCCACCAGCCTGCCAGGTGCAGGTGTACCAGAGTCTTGACGGCCTCCTCTTCTGCCGCAGAGACCCCCTCGGTGCGTTGGCGTCCTCCTCCCAGGCTTCAACACCACTGTAGGCAGGGATGCAGCAGCCATTTCTTTCAAACCAAACAAACAATACAAAACACCAAAACCTAGGCTGGCCACTTTTTAGTGGCTTCAGTCAGCTAGACTTTTCAGTCTTCTTCAAAATAAGCTTTTCAGCTCCTCAGTCTCTTGCTGCTGTTCTCAGCTCTTTTAAAAGGTGCTCATGCTGTCAGCCAGATCAGAATCAGCTGGCTCTCATTAAGGGCAGCGTGAGCCCCTGAGCCGAGAGGGAACGAGAGCTCGCCGCTCCGCCTCCCCGTCACCGCCCCCAGCTTGCAGCTCAGCCGCCCGGGTCGAACGTGAGATGTAGTGAAGCGGCCTCGCTGCATAACAGGGGGCGGGGTCCAGGCGGCGGAGCTCGGGGCTCGCTCCTTGCCCTGGTGCCTCTCGTTGCCGGCACCGTCGTTGTCTTCCTCCTCCCGCCATCACTTGCGTCACTCAGAGGAGCCTGGGCTTTGCACTCCGCCCCCTCCCCACTCGTGGCTCTCTCCCTGGCGTCCTGGCCAAGGTTCGTCGCCGCTGGGTGTTCGGGCCCCGCCTTCCTGCCGGCTCTCGCGGCCGTCATCGTCGGGGCCCGGGGGGGCGGGCGCATGCCACAAAGACTTACTATAATTATATATGTAATATGATGATAATTGTCTGTATTATATGAATTTTGGTCTCTAATACCATAAGCTTTCATTCACTGTTGAGGATTTCTTGGTTGACCTTATAAGAAACATGGGTCATATCTCAGTCTGAGCCATAAGTCCTAATGTTCCTTTTAGTGGTGTATAGTTTTTTTTCATGAGTGTTGTGTGTTGTAGTTGGATGCTCAAGCCCCCCGGCGCTGTGCTGTCAAGGGTTGAATAACTCTTGCAATAGAGGTTGCTACTGTGACCAGGCCTGCATGATGATTGGGGACTGCTGCCCAGACTACAGGCAAACCTGTGTACCACGTGAGTCTAAACACTTACAAACTTACCTGTTCTTAGCTTTAACCATAAAAATTCATATTCAGATCCACTCACATCATAACAGATTAAACACATTCATATTCACTCACATTGATTTTATGATGGAACATCTATTTAAGGAGACAGCAAAAGAAAATAAATACATTATGTTCACATATTATTCAGAAAATGTTACCATTTGTTGTAAACATGCTTTATTTACATTCTTCAGTAGTGCCACAGTGGTCTCTACAGTGAAAAAGTACAGCACACTTTTGGGTGATTTTTTGGGAGCAGGCTGTTTTTATTAATTACTTTTCAATTTTATGTGTTAATTTACTTTTTCTGCTGGCTTGTGAATGCAGAAGGAAGGTAGGTTACTGCTAGGAAGTGTACTGGAGCTGTATAAGTACAGTATACTTCAATTATTTCAACGCAGAGAATGGATTAATCAAATGATAGAAATGACTCACTAGATGAAGAAGACAAGAAGCTAAAAGCTAAAGTGAGAAAGATAGCGAGCGAAAAGGAAAAGGATTCTGTGGGCTCATGAGGTTGCTAACTGGACCCTAGAGGACTGGCAACATGTGGCGCAGCCTGATGAGTCACGGTACCAATTGTTTCGGGCTGATGGCATGGTTTGTGTATGGCGCAGATACCCCGTGAAGCCATGGACCCCAGTTGTCAACAAGGCACTTTGCAGGCTGATGGTGTTTCCATACTGGTGCGGGGTGTGTTTTGATAGCATGGGTTGGGTCCACTCTTCCGCCTGAACATTTCATTGACTGGTGACCGCTACGCTTCACTGTTCAGTGACCATTTCCATCCCTTCATGGACTTCATGTACCCCCAAAATGATGTTATATTCCAGCTGGATAATGCACCATTCCCAAGTTGTCCAGCATTGATTCGAGGAGTATTCTGGAGAGTTCTGATAAATGGTGTGGCCTGCACATTCGCCCGACATAAGCCCAATTTCGCACCACCAGAGAGCTGTGGGTGGCTATCCAGACGGCATGGCTCAACATCCCTCCAGATGTCTTCTGCCGCTTATGAAATCGATGCCACGTAAAATCGCACTTAATCAATCGTAATCGTAATTGCATTACTCTGTTGAACAGCTGAAATAACTACACGGGGTGTAGAATGTAGTCATTTGTGTTGTATGTAGTCAGTTGTTGATATTTTGTGTAATGACATAGTGATTTAAGTTGCTGACCAGTAATTCACTAATGCAAGGTAATCTGTATTTAGAAACTACAGATAGTTTAGACAGTTACTTTGACAAGTACAACACCTTCACCAGGGATAACCTTCAATACTTCACTAAAACACACATCCATGAATCTTACTACTTCAGTGACACTGACATCTACAATTATAAAAGCCAACCCTGGAAAGCTTTACATTTAAACACTGACAGTTGTTTTATTATAAATATTAAGAATCCTTTTTTACCATGTTAATATGTGCTGTCCTGTTAGAGACCAATGCAACAGCGAGCACACCAGGTACCACCCTCAGCACTCTACCACCAACCACAACTAGGAATGTGGCACAAACATCTTCAGCTTCAGTGCTTACAACAAATATCCCTGGTAAGTAGTAAACAATACAGGTAAAAAAAAGTCTTTTAAGCAGAAACAACTTCACAAGCAAAGGAACACAGATCAGACTAAAAATTCACTAGAAATTGATGCAATTATGTCAAAAGCTTGGACTTATGCTGGCTCTTGACATACACACACACAATTTTTAAGCCGACTGTCCTCCTGGCTCACGGGGGGTGCTGGAGTCTATCCCAGCGCTTATTGGGCGGAAGGCAGGAAACACCCTGGACAGGTTGCCAGTCCATCACAGGGCAGTCTCGGTGGACAGTTTTTTAAAATAATTTTACTGAAAGGCATTTCAGATGTTGACCAGTAATTGACTAATGGATGGATCCAAACATTTATTACACTTTTCAATAACTTAAGGGCCCCATATCACGGAAAACCAAATCCAGTCTTAAAAGCACAGTAAATCTGTGAAAACAGAATGAACAAAGGTTGGCAAATGGTGCTTACATATTCTTGGGGCCCATTATGTTTATTCCGGTTACATAAAGCTTGTGGGGTGCTCATGAAGTTTGTGCCGATTGTGCACATTGTTATTGCGATGAGTGACTGGTGTTCACATTAGCCTGAGCCTCAGGCTTATTGTGTTCTCATTAGTTGGGCCACAGGCCCTTTGCATTCACTCTATTGATTACAGGCCATGGGTGATGGGCCCATACATGCACTAGGTTCACTGGGCAATGGGCTCATACATACACTATGTTTACTGGGCGATGGGCCCATACATGCACCATGTTTGTTTGGATGATGGGCCCATACATGCATTGTGTTAGCTTGGGTGATGGGCCTATACATGCGCTGCATTTGCTTGAGTGATGGGCCCATACATGCATTGTGTTCATTTAGGCGATGGGCCTATGTGTGCACTGTGTTAGCTTGGGTGATGGGCGACCACCTGTAGCTTGCAGGAATGAGTCGTTTGAACTCTTGACGGCAAGAACATCAGCAACAGCATTGATACTGAGACACATGGAGTCCTGGAATATGTTGTGAATATGCTAGGAAATACAGATTGTCAGGTTAAATGTATTTCATTGATAAACAAAGTCACAGGCTTTAAAATGTAATTTCTCTTTTTAAAAACAATTACTACAACTACTACTTCATGGAGTGTCTCGAGCACTCAGCCATCAACCACATCCAGAAAAATCCCACAAACACAACCGAAACAACCCAGTTACAACAGCCAACCTTTTTACCGCAACTATAAATTAATGTAAATGAAAGCAAATCTTATCAATGGAATGAGTAAATCAGTTAAGATTAGCATAAACATAATAATGCTCATGCCAATTCACTTTTTAAGTGTTATGAATTTTCATTATAGAAACTGCATCAGTAAATTCACCCAAAACAGCAGCAACACCACAAAAATCTCAGAATGAGAAAATAATTAAAAATCTGTTCAACACTCACACTCTAATGTAACAAATCCATGCAATGACTGGAGTACAGCAAGAAGTCAGGTATTAAACCTGTGTTGTTCTAAGAAAGACTATACACTGGCATGCAGAAAGTCATGGGATAGCAGTATGTAAATTGACAATGAAGTGGCGTTACCTCAGAGGATAGCTTGGGAACGCCCACACCTATGTAAGTTGTGAGGTGTTATCTTGTGAGTGAGCTTGAATACTGGTCAGCACGCACATGGCAAGGTGATGAATTCGAATGAGGCATGATAGAGGGTGCCACATGGATGGGACTTTCCATTTCCTAAATTGTGCAGGCATTTAACGGTAACACTTTACATTACTGTTTCATAGTTAATAAGTAACTAATCAGGAACTAAGCAGGAATGAATGTAGTGCTGCATTAACACTTAAGTAACTACTCTCAAGGACTACTAGTTAACTAATTAGTAGGTGAACTAATGATTAGGGTAGTTCACTATTAACTAAACAATAACTACTGAGTCTCATAGAGAATTACTTAGTAACCATGGTTTCTTAGAATAACTACTCATAAATTACTGATCAGTTCAGCATTAATTGCTCAACAGCTGAGTCTGACAAGGTTCCTGCTGAACTACTAATTGATGTAGTATATTCCAACACTTCTAACAGTAATGAAATACACTACACAGTATGCAGTCTCTACAATATAATGGATTATATTCTCCAATTCTATTCACAGAAACAGGTTTCCTCAGAGAAGCCTGGGGACATCACACCACACTGTACTGATTGGTGTCCCACATGTGTTTGTTTTGATCAGAAACCTTAAAACGCTAATGCACATAATCTTCATATTTGGCAGTGTGAACCAATTTGCACATCAGCCTACAAATGGGACAACTGCTAAAATACTACAGTATTCAGTAGACCAGTCTGCTTACCTCTCATCTTTAGAAAAGAAAACACCATTATTTTCTGCAGGAACACATGTGCCTATGTTTCTTCTGAACAGTAGTTCTCCTTTAAAGTCCTCTTGAGGGCAGGGTCAGTTGAAGAGAGGGCTCATGGAAATATCTGAATGTGTATGTGTCCTGCCTTCAAACTTGGTTCTACATGCTACCAAGTGATTATATAATTACTGTCTGTTAGATAATGAATGAGGTGTTGCTGTTCTTCATTAGGAGCTTATGATGATCAGGAACAATATTAAATGAAACAATGGTAACCCATTATTAATGAACTAGTTAATGATGATCAGGAACAGTATTATAAAGTGCAAAACATGGTAACTCACTATTAATGAACTAGGAGTTCATGATGACCTGGAACAGTATTATAAAGTGAAATACATGGTGACTCACAATTAATGAACTAAGAGTTAATGATGATCAGGAACAGCATTATAAAGTGAAACACATAGTAACTCACTATTAATGAACTTGGAGTTAATAATGATCAGGAACAGAACTGTAAAGTGAAACACATAGTAACTCATTACTAATGAACTAGGAATTAATGATGACCTGTAACAATATTTTTAAGAAATGGACTACATTAGAAATAAAAAACCCTAAATAAATGATGCACGTTAGTACAAAAAAATCAATAAAGAAATTTTGAAGAAAGTAAGAGTGAAGTTGTTTATTGAATCCTGTTTTATTTCTGAACAGTCCACATGTGACACATTCCCTGAGTCAGCTAGCTATGTCATTGAAAATAATACATCCAAACAAAATGAAATCAAAATCTCTCATTACTACTGAAGGAGAAAGTCTGAGAGCTGAGACGGATCACAGTACAGTCTGCTAATACAATAATTACACATCTTTAGCTAATTTAACTAGCTAGCTAGCATGCACTGATAACAGAACATCAGCAGCAGCTTTAGGTTTAATAAAGCACTAACATGTGCTTATAATTCTGAAACAACATGGTAAAACAAACATTGTACAAGAATAAACATTTCAGTTCTGATGAATTAAATAAACTTACATTTAACAGTAGAGTTGCACAGGACTCTTATTATGATAGCTATAGTGTTTCTGTTGAGTGCCTGTGAGGTTTTTGCGAGTGCTGGTAAAGGAGAGCAGTTAATCCTGCATTCTCAGTGGATCAGTTTGATAATTCTGTTTATAGTTTAATTCTGACTCGTTGTATCTCCTGATGTATGATGAATGAATCAGAAACAGATGGCCGACCCCCGGTCCGCTAATGTGAGACTTTTGATGCAGATTCAAGATTTTATTCAGACTGCAGCACTAATGTAGAGACCTAGTTAGCTGACTTGCTAACTAATCTGAGCTAGGTACAGTCTTCTTGTGCAATGTCTGTTTTACCGTGTTTCAGAATTATAAGTACATGTTTTTATTAAAGTGCTTTATTAAACCTAAAGCGGCTGCTGATGTTCTGTTTTGAGTGCATGCTGGCTAGCTAGTTAATGTAACCAATATGAGCTACGCTAATAGGCAGTAAAACGTGCCTCAGCTATAAAACAGAAAGATGTGTAATTAATGTACTAGCAGACCATACTGTGATCCGTCTCAGCTCTCCAACTTTCTCCTTCAGTAGTAATTGGTCTGCTGAATACTGTAGTATTTTGGCAGTTGTCCCATTTGTAGGCTGATGTGCAAATTGGTTCACACTGCCAAATATGAAGATTATGTGCATTAGCCTTTTAAGGTTTCTGATCAAAACAAACACATGTGGGACACCAATCAGCACAGTGTGGTGTGATGTCCCCAGCCTTCTCTGAGGATACCTAGTTCTGTGAATAGAATTGGAGAATATAATCCATTATATTGTAGAGACTGCGTACTGTGTAGTGTATTTCATTACTGTTAGAAGTGTTGGAATATACTACATCAATTAATAGTTCAGCAGGAACCTTGTCAGACTCTGTTGAGCAATTAATGCTGAACTGATCAGTAATTTATGAGTAGTTATTCTAAGAAACCATGGTTAGTAAGTAATTCTCTATGAGACTCACTAGTTATTGTTTAGTTAATAGCGACCTACCCTAATCATTAGTTCACTTTTACCTACTGAGTAGTTCACTATTAGTCCTTGGTAGGTAAGAGTAGTTACTTAAGTGTTAATGCAGCACTACTCATTCATTCCTGCTTAGTTCCTGAATAGTTACTTATTAACTATGAAACAGTATTGTAAAGTGTTACCCATTTAACATTCCTCAATCCACAGTGTCACTTGTGTACCAGGAATACATCATACATCACTCTGGCAGAAATCACATCCACATTCAATGCAGGAGGCTCCACACACATATCCCGCAAAACAGTACAGCGTTCTTTAGCTTCCATGAAATATGGGAACACCCAGTACCTCTGATCTGCATAAACGCGATAACGTCGGAATGCCTGGTTGCTGGACTTTTGAAGTTAATGGTACAGTCTCTAGTGAATTTACTGTTACTTTACCCTTCATTTAATGTGCAGTTGTATGCGTAACATGGCAGTTAAAGTGCCATAAGGTGGGCCAGTATGTTGTTTCAGGTAATCTCAGGAGTGTCTTAAACCCTGCTAGGTGTCCACACAATGGGTTATCATGTATATACTCAAGAAAATCCTCTTTCACTTTACATTATTTTCCTGTTAATTTACTAGTAGAAAAGTTCAGTGAATGCATGTGGATAAGGTTCTTATCAGATCATTCACATCTGTCCCAGTACTTTTAGTGGGGACTAAATGTAGATTCCTGTTATTGCCGATAAAGCAAAAAAAATAATGACACGATCCATTCCATGTCTAGGTCAATTTAGGCTGTTCTTTCCGGTTCTACCTGGTGCTGTTCAGCATGCTGTTACCTCTGATGGAGGTAATACACTGGTCCAGCTTAGCCAACCATTCTCCTACTTTGGAAGAGACTACACGCAATTATATGTAAGTAAAAGAAAAAAACAGAATTTTTAAGTAAGATTTTATAAGTATTCTGTTGCAGTGCATTCCAGCATTATTCACAGCCTCAATTAATATGAGAAAGACAGTAAAACTATATTGAATATAAACTTATACTAATTGAATAATTAACAAATTAATTAATATACAATCATCCGGAAACTGATAGCACTTTGGCAGTTTTACATTTTTTTCTTTGCCAAAATAACATCATTTAGTGTTCCTTTGTGATGTGTGATATGGAACACTTTGCAGGGAACAAGACCATTCCTACATCTCTAGGTTCTTCGGAGTTCTTAAATCTCACTACTGGACCATCCTATTTATTTCAGCCCAGTTTTTCAGTGGAGTTTTATGTGAGGGGACATTGGTGGTCATTGTGAAAGACTGATTTTTATTTAAGCCAAACAATCCCTCAGCATGACAAATCCACCACATATCATAGTGAGGAAGATTATGCTTTGCATAACTGTCTTTATCTTTTAAAGCCAAATCTGTCCTTGATACTTTTAACTTAAGTTTCAGTGAAATATGAATGACACCAACTGGCTTGACAAAGCCATTGCTATGGAATCCCAGGTTGTTGCTAAGGTGTCGCTATGTTACCCTTTATTAATCCCACAATGGGGAAATTCACCTCCACATTTAACCCATCTGTGTGGTGAAACACCCACATACACACTAGTGAAGGCACACACACTAGGGGACAGTGAGCACACTTGCCCAGAGCAGTGGCTAGCCCTATCCACAGCGCCCAGGGAGCAGTTAGGGGTTATGTGCCTTGCTCAAGGGCACTTCAGTCATGTCCTGTCAGCTCAGGCTATCGAACCGGAGACCTTCTGGCCACAAGGCTGTAAAATCCCAGGTGTTTGTTAAGGTGTTGCTGGGCCATTGCCATCCCAGGTGGTTGAAAAGGTGTTAACAGGCTGTTGCAATGGTATTTTAAGTGGTTAGGTGTAAAGCGTGCATTCGACTGGTCTCAAAAGCACAGGAGAACTTTTATTGCATAGGCCTTATGATCCTGCCAAGTTTTGTGGTTCTAGCTCAAAAACGAAATGTGGGAAACCATACAAATGAAACACAGAATAGTAAATGGAAGAACAGTACGTTGTCTTTGTCAAGCCAAATTAACAAATAAATTGAAGATTTATATTTAAGATTTTTTTCATGCTAATTTGTTTTCCATACGTCAAACAGGTCAAGCCAATAAACAACACCTACCAAACTTGTTGCTCGAATGCAATAGTGCGTAGACTCATAGTTTATGATTGTAAAGATGAGACAAGAAGAGTTTCTTGGGTCTCAGACAGTATTTGGTGTAAAAAACCAAACCCTCTTTTTCCCCACAAGACAGGACAAAATGCTTTTATTACAGGGCACCTCAAAAAGATGAGATCTTTTAGCTACTGCTTTCATGTTGTCTTTAGGAGAACTTCATTATCTAAAATATATTTCTAATTATAATTATCTTTTTCAGCTCAGCATGGATGGTTTCCTTTCTTTTGAGCCCCTCTACTTTGACAGCTATGTTCCAATTACGAACAAAGATATCATCGCTCCACTGTGGACTGACATTGACACTTACACCAGAGGAAACATCACCTATCAGCAAGCAACAAGTGGACCGCTTATAGCACAAGCTACAGCAGAAATTAGACAGATGTACACCAGGTCCAACTTCACTGCTGCCTGGGTCTTCGTTGGCACCTGGGAGAAGGTTGAATTCGAACCTGATGTAGGGGTAAGTGTCTGTCCTTAGGATTCAGTCGCTGCCTCCAAGCCGACATTTCTTAACATCTTTCTCCCCTTGAAGGAGGTGACTTTCCAAGTAGTCTTGATCTCTGATGAAGACAGTGACGTCTCTTTCATCCTGATAAACTACGGTCAAATTCCAAATGATCCAGAAGCCTGGATGGTGAGAGAAGCATGTTTATGCATGTCTTTACTGATTTCAGTGCTTCATAACGTTTAACATTAACAACATTAATTTTATTAAAATTATTCTTTTAGGCTGGCTATCTGACAGAGGACAATGCCTATCAGTTCAGGATTCAGGCAGCTAGTACCGCTGACCTGTCCAGAAGTTCTAATGTTGGAAGGCCTGGTCGCTGGGCTTTCCGTGTTGATGGTACGATCTCTAGAGAATTAACTGTTATTTTGTCTTTATTTCAGTATGTTAGGGTGCAGCTTTTTAAACAAAGCTTTAAGCCTGATGATACATTGAGACATAAAATGAAAAATGAATTTTCTGTTTGCAATACATAAGAATTTTGAAAGATTGTTGTTGCATGACTGGCATTTCTTTAACCTTTTATTTTTCAGGACTAATAAAATGAAAGTTTAGAGGCTACTATCTCAGTGTAACTCCTTAGATGTGCATTGAAATGGGTTACTTTAACTTGCAGGACATCACAAAATTGGTGGGTTCTGTCTAGTATGGCATATCAGTGTACGGGAGTGATTTCCTATGTAGGACATAACATACAGTATTAGTTCATAGAGTTGATATAGTATAAAAGAAAACAAGTGACCATTATCATTAAATGACGTTTACATGCGTTTTTCAGAGTTCACTTAACTTATTTTTTTTAATTTGCTCACTTTTTTTTAAAGTTTCTTTAAAAAAAATTGCTATGTTATTTTTTTAGGGAAGTTCTGTTCTGTTCCATCCTCCCAGTCCGCCCTCACCTCCTCACCCCTCCAGGTCCCGCTTCAAATTAGCCAAATATGAAGCGAGAGCCAAACAGACCATAGCACATCACTTATGCTGCGGGCCTAAACTGTACATTTCATAAACGGTCCCAAAAAAAAGAGTTTAGCCCTTTATATTGGTATTTTTTCCATGTTTTGGGAGCATCATCAAAATGTACCCTAATATTTGCTCAGTCAAATTCAGCAAATAAACAGTAATTGTACATTAAAATATGCAGAAGTGTGTTCTCTGTAGAGGATGTGTTAACTTATTTCCACAAAAGTTGGGACACCCAACTTTTGCATGTGACTATATATCCAAAAATATAGGGTTGCAGTGAGTAATGTGTCTTTCTCAGTGGCTGTTCTACATTAGACCTTGAAACAATTTACAAAAATATATTATGGTTTAATGTCATTTAAATATTAAAACATTTGTACAAGTCACATGAAAAAATAACACTATATAATAATCGTGATAATAGTGATAACACAGATAATCTATATAAAGAAAATTGCTTTAAATGCATTGAACACAATTAATATTGTTAATATAACAAAATCCTTAAGTCAGTGACTGTTATATGATGTAACTACTGGGTGCCTGACCATGCCATTCTGTGTCTGTCTGTCTATATTTTTCTCTCTCTAGCCTGTGCTGTTTTGAACTGCAGTGCGAATGAGGTGTGCGTAGCGAGATCTGGACTTTATGGCTGCGCCTGTAAGAGTAACAGTCAAAGATCCAATCCTGACAATTTTGGTATGTTTCATTTAAAAATATTTTTTTTAATTTGTGGGAAGTACTAAAGAGTAGTCAGTAAAATAAATAGTAACTGAAGATGCTACTCTGGAATTTTCTTTTCCTGCTGTCTTTAAATGATTCTTTAAAAGTTTCTTTAACGGGGCAAAATCCATTCTTAAGTTACTGTTTATGTTCTGCAAGCATTACACTAAGAGTCTCACCAGATATGTCCTGGTGGTCACTTTACAGGTGAGGAAAACAGTCAATTAATGTTGATGCAAAAACTTGGCTGTTTCTGTTATTTAACCTGCTGTTCTCCATTAATTACATGATTTCTCAGTGCCGCTGTAGCATTCATCTGACATGTCAAGAACATGATCTATCAAAGCCAAAAATTCAAAGATTTTTGTTTCATCTTCCTACCTTTCCAAACAAGAAAACACATTAATAGAAAGTCACTCTAAAGAACCCCTTCAAACACCATTATTTTAAAAGTCGTTTAGAAGAATTATCATTTTCTCAATAACAATCATTTGGAAGCTACTAGAAATTCCTCACCCACTGATGCTACAACTGATGGTCTGCTTGATTTATACCACATGCTGCAGTGACATCTGACTAGTCAAGGAGCTTAAGCTGGAAGACAAGCATAGTGTTTTTGTTTGTTTGAGTTTAATGGTTTAGCTGGTCAACTGGTTTGACCAAGCTGGTCAACCAGCATGACTAGTTTGACCAGAAAGCAAGGTGGTTATGCTGGCAGCCCATCTAAACCACAAAAACATACCCTATGCGGGTCACCAGCTAAATTGGTCTTACAGCCTAACCAGCAGGGTGTGTTTTGTGAGGTCCAGCTTGTCAACCGACTGGACCATCAAAACCAGCTTAGCAGGGACCGTTGTTATAGTGTTTATTCGTTTTAAAAAAAATGTCTGTCTGACACTGTTTACTCCGTTTTTTCAGATGTCTCTGAGAGTTGTGTCGGCACTAGTAGGTCAGTGTCTCTGTCCCGCTGCCAGCTCTTTGAAGCTGGATTTCCTGTAACCGTCCTCCATCTCAATGATCCCTCATGCAGAGGGCTGGCCCAGAATGGCAGAGTGACGTTCCGTTTTGATGACAACACTTGCGGCACAATTCTGGAGGTACAGTAGTGGCTCTCTCCAAAGAGAGATAAGGGTCTTACATACACTGACCAGCCACTTCACTAGAACCTCTTCCTTGTTTCTACACACATTGTCCATTTTATCAGCTCCACTTACTATATAGGTGCACTTTGTAGTTCTACAATTACAGACTGTAGTCCATCTGTTTCTCTGCATACTTTGTTAGCCCCCTTTTATCCTGTTTTTCAATTATCAGGATCTCCACAGGACCACCACAGAGCTGGTATCAATCAATCAACAATTATTTCAACTCAGAAGTACACTGAAGGTGACCCTCAATTACAGTGTAGCCAAGCAAGTTAAACAGAGATTGAAAAAGTTAAAATGAAATTGAATCCACTAAAAGAAGTCAAAGCCTGCAAGACAAAATAAACAAAGAAAATCAATAAAGATTTTAAAATCAGTAAAAAGTCAAATAAGGAAACAGACCTAAGGTAGCAATAAAATATGTAATAAAAACTAATAGATACTAGACAATAAAAAAGCTAAAAATCTTAGAAAAAATGTATAAAACGACAAAATAAAATAGAGCAGTAAACAAACTAACATCAAATAAGTCAGCTGCAGGCTGAGTAGAGGTAGTTAGGAATTAAAACTTTACAATGGTCAAGTGACACCAGCGAGCAGAGTTTTGTAATGTATTCCAGTTCTCTGGTGCAGCTAAAAGCAGATTTTTCCCAGTAAAAACTCTTGGAACCTGACGGGTGACCCAGTCATTAGAGTAGGTCTGATAAATACCATTGTTCACAGAGACCACAGATGTGATGTAAGATGGTGTATGGCTGGAGAATGCCCTATGAATAAAAACAAACCCATCAGTTTCCTGCCACATGACTAAAGAGGACCAATCAATATTTTCATACAGTGTGTAGTGATCAGTGCTGTAAGAGTCTCCAGTAATGAATCTCAGAGCAGAGTGTGTTGCGCTGGTACAAGTGGATCAGACACAGTAGTGCTGCTGGAATTTTTAAACATCCAGCCAACAGTGTCCTGTGACCACTGATGAAGCACTAGAGGATGACGAACACAAACTGTGCAGCAACAGATGAGCTATCGTCTCTGACTTTACATCTACAAGTTGAAGCAACGAGGTAGTTGTGTCTAATAGAGTGATGTTAGTGGACAAAGTTATTAAAAACTCCAGCAGCACTGCTGTGTCTGATCCACTTGTACCAGCGCAACACACACTAACACACCACTACATCAGTGTCACTGCACTGCTGAGAATAATCCACCACCCAAATAGTACCTGCTCTACAGTGGTCCTGTTAAGGGTCCTGACATTGAGGAACAGGGTGAAAGGGGGCTAACAAAGTATGCAGAGAAACAGATGGACTACAGTCTGTAATTGTAAAACTATATATATTTATATGTATATATAAAATGAATTCTGATAAAGCTTATTTTTCTCAAACTGTAACATCTGTCTTTCAGGTTAATTCAACACACTTCATCTACAAGAACTCCATTCAGTCATTCTCGAGTGTGGGACCAAGGAGTGTGGTCAGTCGTGACAGCTGGCTGAACCTTAACTTCTCCTGTGTGTACCCGCTCATCCAGAGCATCTCTGCGCCCATGACCTTCCAGGCTATTGATAGGTAGCAATATTTGTATCACCAGCAGACAATCTTTCAAAATTTTAGATAAAGGTTCTTCAAATGATAATTTTTTTTTCCACAGTGTTATCAACAAGAAGCTGCCAGGTACACTGGGTACATACCAGATCCGCATGGTGCCCTACTCCAATGCTCTTTTCACCGCTCGTTTATCCGGTACTGTCACGCTTCACGTGAACGAGCAGGTCTTCATGGCTGTAGAGGTGGATGGAGTCGACAGTCAGGTGTTCTCCACTGTGCTGGACAACTGCTGGGCCACTCCCTACAATGATCCGAACTACTACGTCCGCTGGGATCTGATCATCAATGAGTAAGAGGAGTATAATCACGTATCTTAGTAAACGTGCGCTTAGGTTTCTGAAAGATGATCTTAGTTGCTCTGAGAGGCCTGATAAAATATGGTGTCAGATGGAGTTTGTGATGTGTGGTGATCTAATCTGCCGTTTTGTTTGAAAAAAAATTGCTGTATTGAATGTCCTAAGAATCAGCATGTGCAGCCTACATTTCCCAAATCTTTAATTCTTCTCTCGCCCTCCAGGTGTCCTAACCCTAAGGATGGCACAGTGGAGGTGTTGCAGAACGGAGTCTCGATATCCAGCCGCTTCTCTTTCAGGATGTTCACCTTCACTGGCGTCAATAGAAATTTCTACCTGCACTGCAAGGTTCACCTGTGCCTGGTGAATGGAGGTCATTGTGCACTGGTGAGTTTTAGATCACCCACTTAGCCAGTCACTGGCCAGTTCTGTAACACATATTACTTTTTTATTTCAGTTTTCGCAATGCTGACACAGGTCTTTCACAAAAGAATAGTTGAAATACACTGTTGAAAAAAAATTCTGTAAAAAAAACCTGTTAAATCGCCAGCAGCAGAAGTGTCCGACAAAACCAGTCCATCGCAGGGCAGACAGACAGACAAATACAAATACATTCACTCACACATTCACACCTAGGGCAATTTAGCATGTTCAGTTGGCCTGACTGCACGTCTTTGGCCTGTTGGAGGAAACCTGAGTTAATAATTAACACTACAAGTTTATCTTTTAACCGTGCTAGTAAAAAATTATAAAAAAGACAATCATTTAAACCATTTAATTTTTTAGAAATATTTAAAAATGAGAAATTATTCTAACATTGTTTTTAATGATACAGAAAACAATTAAATCACTAAAATAAGTGCAAATGTCTGTGAAATAAGTGATCAACTGTTTGTGTGAATCTACATTCTATTTCTATAAATGTTAGCAAGACTTCCCTTATAAAGAGTTTGTGAATGGTTTAAAATTTGTGTATTAATGCTTATTAATCAGTTCATAAACACCCTGAAAATCATCAGTAAGCAGTTACAGCACATAAAAAGGGCAACAGTGAATATTAGTGTTTGCCTAATAGCCTTTTTCTGCCCTCTTTTATTGATGTGATACAACTGCTTATTAATGTTTAATCTGAGGTGTTTATTAACAGCCATTAATAAACAAATTTTATACCATGTACAAGGACAGTTTTAACTCTGAACTGATATCCTGTAAATTAACAACAGCAGTTTTAAAATACAGTATATGTATGGGTATATTTATATGCGTTGAACCTTTTTGTCAACATACGGGTATTGACCATTACATTTTACAGTACTTTCACAGTAAAACTACTACAGTGCAAGATAGCACTTGCTGAAATATTATCTGGACTGACTCTCATGTTTGATTTTCTTTCTCAGCCCTGTGATGATGATGATGGTGATGACGATGATGGGCATCCCTTCTCCAGAAGACGCAGATCTGTGGACTTCCATGACACAACATCCATCAGCATGAGCTTCTAATTTAGGCTATGCTATAATCTCCTTTTCTTTATTTTGATTGCTGTTGTTAATTCCTATACAAAAATCAAAAGCTTACTACATAATTACTTAATAACCTTTCTGAGGACAAATAGTATCCATCACAATTAAACTGCAATTTGTAATTTCAAGAATGTTTTAACAGTGGAAATGTGGGTATGATTGTTGATTAATTCTGTTGAATAATCAGTGAAATAAAAGTCTTAAGCATTTTATTTCTATTTTTATTTTAGAAGAATTAGAATTCTCTTCTTTTTCTTACTATTATTAGTAGTAGTGTTCCATTTATTTGTACACAATTGTTTCATCCGAATAGCATAAGTACAGTCAGTAAGTAAGTTTGGGTACCCCTAGGCCAATGACATGTTGATTTTCTAAGTGATATAGGTTAATCCATCTTCTACAGAGACACACTTCTGCACAATTAAATGCACAATTACTGTTTATTTGCTGAATTTAACATAATTGAATGAAATGTTTTTATTTTATAAATGTTTAATTTTTTACACAGGCATAAAATGTGGCCTGCGTAAAAGTTAAAAATATAAAATGGACTCAGCAAATAAATAGAAATTGTGCACTGAAATTAGCAGGAAAATGCCATATTTAAATGTGTTCTCTGAGGATGTGCTAACTTATTTTTATTAGAAAATCAATAAAAAGTAACCGGTGTTCAAACTTTTGCATGGTCTAGCTCTCAATGGCTTTTACAGTTACTCAGCATGTATAATTCAAACTACTACAACCTTCTGATGGACTACCTAATGCAGGTGTTTTTAAAATAACTCAGATTTTAGCAATACTGGCTTTAGAATATTTCCAACAAAAAGTTGCTGAAATTTGGAGAAACAAAACAGGCTTATTTCTACAACATTTTATGAAAGTAATAATAAAATACTGCCCATTTAACTAAAACAGTAAAAGTGTAGAATGCTATAGGATTGTCTTGGCTAATGAAAATGATTTCTTTCAATATATTTCAATTTTTGTGTACAAAAAGTATAAAGTATAATATTGCATGTAGGTTAGTTTACATGAGTAAACATATTCTGAATATATCAACATTTTTTAAATAGACACTGTCAGCAGCAGCTTTGTGGATGTATGGATCAAGTCCCCTAATGAGCAAGCCAAGGGCAACAGTCAAAGGAAAAACAAAAAACTAAACAAAAAACTGCCTAAGTGCATGTAGAAGAAACAATGACCGAGACAAAGACTCAAAAAGGGAACCCATGGTCAATTAGTCAATTAATTATATCACTGTTAACTTTGCACTAATATAACATAGCAAATCCCATAGAGACAGTAAAGGAAATTAGTAGTGCTGATAGTCAGGCAAACAAAGGCTACTGTTATTTTACGGCTGTACTCTCCGGTCTAAGTGAGGACAGGGACAATAACAGAAGGTTGATGGTGCACACAAAAAGGATGCAGAGACCAGCAATATGTAAACATAACTTCTGAAGATGTTATAAAGCATTTTAGTAGGACATAGAACATAAAACACTACACTAAAACAAATGATAAAGTATAACAGGCTGGATGGACAGTCTGTTTAGCAGGAAGGCTAAAGATGGCCCCAAAGAAAAGAAAGGAATGAACACAAATACTAGTTAGAATACTAGACAATTAATTTATCTTGCCCTTTACTGGTGAATAAAAAAAAAATCTGCCTGTAATACTACTGTCAGTTCGAAAACGGACAGACTTACTTTGCTCTGCTTTCAGCAACCGACACGCCCACTTAGATCACAAGGTGCAGGCTCATTATTAGTACCTAGAATTAATAAAGTTACATAAGGGGGGAAGAGCCTTTTCATACAACGCCCCCCAGCTTTGGAACAACCTACCAGTCTGTGTTCAGGACTCAGACACAGCCTACATCTTTAAGTCTAGGCTAAAAACTTACCTGTTTAGTCGAGCCTTTGGTTAATTAGTTTTCCTGTTAGAAAAAGGTGCAGATCTGGGGGTTCACAGACAGAGAGTCTTATGGTAATCTGGGAATGTTGGTGCTGTCGTCCCACTGCTCTTACACGTTCACTCAAGTTAGCTGACGATGGAGCAGAGGGGCGCTGACTTCTCAGGGAGCCCTCAGGCCCTTGTTACCTTCTGGCTCTCCCAGAAGTTATGCTGCCATAGCCAGGCCTACCGCTGCACTCTGTCAACTCTATGTTCTGTTCGGTCACTCCTAACAGAACTAAGCCTGAGCGGCTGCCCGTCCCAAGAGGGTCTGATGTGAACACCACTCAATCCCATCCCAGGGGGGTCTGATGCGGCCGGCGCTGCATCCTGTGTGGTGCTGTCGCTTCGTCTGCCATGACTGGATGGGCTTCTCGCGTGCATCGTAGAGCCTTGTTCTGTGTGGATCCTTGTGTGGTCTTCACTGTACAAAGGACTCTCAACTCCATACCCAACACTGTACAGAACTGTAAAACTGTATCCACTTATACTGTTTTGTGTCTGTGCTGTTATCCGGTGTCGACCAGAGGAGGATGGGTTCCCCTTTTGAATCTGGTTCCCCTCAAGGTTTCTTCTTTCTGTTGAGGGAGTTTTTCCTTGCCACTGTCGCCAAGACTTGCTCACTGGGGACGTGGACCCGGAATCTCTGTAAAGCTGCTTTGTGACAACATCTGTTGTAAAAGGCCTCAGCTGTAGCCGCTTTTCTTGCATCACCAACTGGAAACTTTTCCACAAAAGTAAAACAGTTTCTTGTAAAATGTCTCACAATGTTCTACTTTTTACGAGGGTGAAGTCACTTCTCATTCTCCAGCTTCTCGTTCAAATTCTCCTGTTCCACCTTAAATGGTGCCATACAGCACAATGTGGCGCCTCAGGCACCATTTAAGATGAAACAGGAGAATTTGAATGAGAAGCTGACTTCAGCCTTGTAAAAAGTCTGGTTCTTGTTAACATTTCAGTTGCCGACCACTGAGCTAAGCCTAATAGTAAGGGGTGATCAGCACGTGCCTGTTTGCTCGAACTGTCCGTGGCTCAGTAAGGATTGCACGATCACCACCAGCCAAGTTAACTACCGCGTTCTATGGTTCAAGTTTTGAGTGGATTGCCTGAAGCCTGTAGCAAAATTGTAGCGCAAATTATCACTATAGCTACACAAAATTTTTTAGCTGTTAACAGCTATTAGCTACATTTCCTAAAAGTGTAGCGGCTACAGCTATAAAAACACAGCCCAGAGTACTCTGCTCTATATTTAAATATATTATTGCTTAAATATATTTAAATATATTATTGCTTAAATATATTTAAATAATACAGTGTAAAAAATGCATATAAAAAGCATATGATCGAAAGAACATGCATTAAACATGCATTAAGATAAAAAAAAGCACTGAAATAGACAAGTATAAAAATGTATAAAACAAGTATAAAAAAAGTATAAAAATGAAAATGAAAAAAATGAAATGAAAAGAAATTCCTAAAGAAAATGCGGTTCTTGTGAGTCAAAAAACAAAAGTCTTAAATGCTTACACAAGAAGCTTGAAAGTGTGAGAAGGTTTATAGCGGTAATGTTTAACCTCTGGCCATGAAAAACAAGAAATACAACATATTTAGGTCAACCTCATTTATTAGTCTGGCAAAATGCCAGCTATGTTTACATTTTCAGTGCCAGCTAAAGTGAAACTCTTTCTCTTTTTGTTTGTACGGAATTCATCTGTCATGGACAAATCCTTACAAAAAGGATTAGAAGATCCTAAGTCTGGGCCAACTAAAGGTGAAACAGCATCTGTATCTCGGACTAAGAAAACCAAAATAAAGAAAACACAGCAGCAGGTACAGAGCCTCACTGCACCATGACAAAAACAAACGGACAGAATGTCTTCAAGTGATAAAAATGTCCTTTTGTTCCTTACAAAACAAGCAAACTGACATTAGGTTGGCTACTTTCCAGTTTGAAAAATTTAAAAGGAGCATGGAGAGTTTCACCACCTTATTTAGGTGCTGAGCTTTTGAATACAGCCCAGATGTCTGTAACTCAGTTTGAGTGTGTTTGAGCTGCTTTTGGAGATGCTAACAGCATTCGTGAGAAAGCAGACGACAAATGAATCCTGTTGTTGGCGAAAGTGCACATATATCAAAAAGAGCACAGATAATTCTGCAATTTCACCTAAGAAAAAGTACAGAATATTATCTACTGTACATGTGATCGACTTCATTTAAGTGCATAAAGGCCTCTATCATGTCCAAGAAAAGAAAACGAGTAACTGCTGCTACATGCTGAATGCTCAGAGTTCTTTTAGAAATAAAGCTTTGAAACAGCTACAAATTATGCTGTCAATTGGAGGCTAAATCTACTAAACAGAGACAGACCTCCATTCATACTTTCATTTCTTCAGCATGTCATCCAGCACTGTAGCTGACAAACACCAGTGAACCGTCTGGGGTCCACAAGCTCGACTGCACGTCAAATTCAATGTTTCTATATATGTTTCTCTATCTTTTAAATAATACAGCACAGAAATATGGTTCAAACATTTCCTGAATCTGCAGAGCCGCCCTTGCCATTTCATCTTATTTTACGTGACTCACATTCTGAGTTATACCAGATATTTTGTGTGACACTGACCAATGAACATCACACCAGAAACCCTTCATTCCTCATTCAGTCCACATCGGAGACACATGTGAAATGGCATGCAGGGAGTTTACAGCTGCTGAAGTTGCTGCAGCAGTTTTGGAAAGTAGTGATGAAGATAACAGAGTATTTTAATATGTAACTTATGACTTATATATATATATATATATATATATATATATATATATATATATATGCAAAAATCTTTAAATTAGAATTTTAGAAGATATGCAAAAATTGAGAAAATGCCCTTATACCCCAGAGGATTAACTCATTAGGTGAAAATATTTGTTTATTTATGAGTGTTTGTGCAGGTCATGAATTAAAAAAAGACTGGGACCCAATGCTGTACAGAGTAATTTGCAGAATGAAATGTTTACATTCACAACTGAAAAGAAAGAATGAAGAAACTAATAAAATTAAGTGTTATAACAGCAGTAGCACCAGACTACAATTTAATTTACTGTATTTCTTGACACTGACCTTCACAATAATGCACCAGTGGCACAGTATTAGGCTACTTGTGCAAAAACAAGAAAAAATTTAGTGCAAAAATGTCTATGTGTGAATTTTTTTTAAATATTTAATGTGACGCTGCCACTAAAGGGGTAAAAGTCATGTAGT